GAAGGAGTGGTAAACACTGTGTGTAGTTTGGCAGTCATACATAATAGGCCCTGACCGATTTAAAAAGTTTGTGGTCAGTAACAATACTTTTGAAGGACTAATAAAAATTCAGATAACCAATGAGACCATTTGATATAATTTTTTTTTCTGGAGATTTTAAATTTAAAATTTAGCCTAGTCTTAGTTCTACTGATTTTGAAGGACTAATATAATATATATATATGTATACACATATATGTACACATATATATATACACACACACACACACACACACACACATATATATATATATATATATATGTATATATATTTATGTATATATATATGTATCTATATACACACACATTTTTTTTTCTGGAGAATTTAAATTTACATTTTTAATTTACACTAGTCTTGGTTCTACTGATTTTGAAGGACCAATAAATATTCATATAACCGATGATACGAACTGATATATTTTGTTTTTAGAGATTTTAAATTTACACCAGTCTTAGTTTTGAAGGATGAACAAAAATTCAGATAACGGATGATACTGGCCGACGGATGAATTTTTTTTCTAGAGATTTTAAATTTTGAATTTTACATTTACATTAATTTTAGTTTTACTGATTTTCATGGACTGATAAAAATTCAGATGACCAATGATACTGGCCGACATGATATTTTTTTCCAGAGATTTTAAATTTTACATTTACACTAGTTTTAGTTCTACTGAATTTGAAGGACCAATAAATATTCAGATAACCAAAGATACTGGCTAATGTCTTTTTTTTTTTTTCGGATATTTTACATTTTATATTAATTCTAGTCTTACTACTGATTTTGAAGGACTAATAAAAATTCATTTAATTAATGATTCCAGCTGATATAATATTTTATTTCTGGTGATTTAAAATTTAAAATTTTAAATGTACAGTAATCTTTGTTCTACTGATTTTGAAGGACTTAAACTGTTTAATGCTGATAAGTTTAAGCAACAATCTGCTGATATCGATATGATACCTTATTCATTGTGCATTCCCAGATATAAATACACTGATAGTAACTCCAGTTATGCTCCAAAGTAGCAAAAGTATGTAAGATTAGAAGGTCAGGTTAAGCAAGTTTGAATCCCTGAAAAACAAAATTCTAATCAACACGTTATCATTAGTATTTCCGCCAATACTGATTAACCCACAGGTTGTTGATATTATCGGCCAACCGATATAACGGTCAGGGTCTAATACATTATAAATCTCACTGATAGAAAACAGACCTGATATACAGTCTAATGCAAAAGTTTGAATACCCCCGTTCAGAGTACACATGATTTTAAAGTAAAAATAAGTTAACACATCCTAAATTTCCACAGATTTTAGAGCATGATTTCTATTTATTCTATTTATTTGCCATTTATTTCTATTTATTAACTTGAGTTTAACATATTGTAAAAAGTAGAAAACCTAAAATATAAAATGTGTCTTAACTTTTGTGCAGGCTGCGTTTTATGTTTTTTTCGTAACATTACAATACATTTAATTCAGCAAATAAACAGTGTATTAAAATGTGTTCTCTATAGAGGATTATCTTATTTTTACTCAGACAATCAACAAAACGTAATTTGGGCGGCATGCATCGTTTTGAATACAACTCTTAATGTGCATAAAAGAACAAGCAGAGGGTGGACTGTTTTTCCAGCACTCTCATATGATTTTGCATTCTGGGCGAGTTACATTAATATTTGTGTCGTCATGCTGTGTATTTGGGCTGTGGCTTTGGCAGCTCCCTACAGCAGGGGTGTCCAAACTGTTTTTCCAAGAGGGCCAAATCAGAGCATGTCAAAATACGTGAAACGTGGGCTGAAATATGATTCACGTATGATTCAAATATTTCACAAATGATTCAAATATTTTTCAGAATATGAAAAATACCACCATGTACAGCAGTTAATTAAACCAAGTGTCTTGCTAATGATCCATTCTGAGAATCTTAAAATGGCATATGCATTTTCATGCTGGTCAGTGAAACACATCCGCATGTAGAATCAGAGCTTTCTGTGAGCTATAATGTTTCCCATTACTGTGTAAAAGATTCACAAGGCTTTTTTTGTTGTTGGACTGCTCATTCAGAGTAATTTTGGAACACAGAATAAAGGACTAGCAGTGCTACATTTTAAAAATACTATCAAAAACCATGAACATGGTCATTTTTATTAAATATTTGTTATACTGTGTTTCACTAAATCCAGTTAAACATGACTGATTTTGCTCTCTGATGTTCTGATGTCCACAATATATTCAGAAAAGCATATTATATTGATGTAATTTATCACAATAAATATATGTATTTATTACATATTGCCCAGCTCAAATAAATAGCTACATTTTTGTTTGGCCTTAAAGGGTTAGTATTTATTGAACTACTGAATTTGCTCTGATAAGAAGTTGGTGCTGTGAGACCCTAGTAGCTGCAGTTGCTTTGGTTTATCTGCTCTCTCCTGAATATTTATTATAATGTCAGTGTTTTGTTTCATGTCTGTTGATATTGAATTCATTACAGTCTGTTGACATAAGAGGCACGCGCATTTGCTGTGGCTCTTGATCAAAAAGTATTCAAATTTCCATCTTGCTAAAATCGCCAGTTCTCAGTGTTAAGTTTGTGCTTTATGGCTGTAGTCTCAACTAAATGTGGTTCAGTAAATGAAGCGGAAGGTCCAGTCAGAGGGGAAAAGGCTCTTAAACTTTAGCTAACTTTGTTACCACAGTGTGACGCATTACATTATAATTTTACGCCACTGCTGCCACCATCAGGAGAAAGGAAGAACTGTGGAGTATTAGCTGGCAGGCCACTTATAACGCACTCTGAAACAGAAGCCATGGGCCAGTTAAAAACTCTCAGCAGACTGCATCTGGCCCTGGGGTCAGACTATGGACACCCCCGCCCTACAGTGACCAGAGAGCAATATAAAATGAAGGCGGTGAGATAGAGAAGAGAGCAGATAGAATGGCCTTTAGAGAAAATGTCAGCACAGCTGTAAATGTCATTGTCTGCGCTGCATTTCATTCATTTACAGAGTAACCCGTATCAGTGCTTTGAACTGGTTAAATAGATGGGTAAGTGATGAACCAGTGCTGAGGTCATGTTGTACCAGAGGACTGATGGTGACAGGAGAGTCGCTTTCAATGCTGTCATAGTATTTTTGTAATGTTCACAGGTTTGAGGCTCTTTAAAACCCCTTAAAACTCCTGGCTTATGATATACTAAGGTTTATTATTCAGTAAATACAGGGACTTCAATGCAGACTGGCTGAGCTATTTTCTTTCAAGCTTTTTTAAGATAGCTTCTTAGGTTATACAAGTGTGTAATAGAACTTTGGGCCCACCGATGGGCCCTGGCCATTTAAGGGGTTGATTCGAAACATTATTCGCAGTCTGATAATGAATTTTACTAACACCTTCTAACACCCATTATCAACCAGTTGGGAAGTAGGATAAATAATGACCTTTCTCTGGATTTGTATATGATTGTCTATTTGTGTCTAACGGAGAGCATAATGTCATTATAAGTTTAATTTCAGGGCCCCCCCCAGGATTTTGGTTCTGAGAGGGGGTCCAAGAGATAAATTAGGGGGTCCCCCAGGACTGTGTTTCTCACCCTGCCTTCATCCAGGTTCCAAGTAAACTGAGCCGATACCAAAAGGTGATGTGGAAAAACTACTGATTGGTCAGAGAGAATTGTCACTATTACCCTAAACACATATGCTAACATTAGCTACCAGGTTAGCGTACCCTCTTGCGTTGACTTTGAGCAACCAGAATCATCTCGTCTTCTGAACTCTAATGTGGTATTTCCCAAACTCTCAGTCGTTTGTCCTGCTGCCTCTTCTGAACAATTTTTATCTCCTTTACCTCACGGCAGTTTCATCTAGTCTCGCTATGATAACCAGCAAGTAGCTGGTACCTAAAGCGAGTCGAGTCGAGTTGAGCTGTACCATGCGGTGGAAAATTGCCATAACAAGAAGTCAGTGTGTGACACCGATACAGATATATGCGTACAGATAATATATAGTCCAGCATTAAAGGAGCTTGGAGTCCTGTCTGTACATCAAAATTTTAAGTGCAGCTAAAAGTGCCATTGAGCTCAAAAAGTGTAAGTGTGGAAACTGACCTTGCCCTAAAAACCCTAAACTGAGCAACAGTTTCTGGATAGCTGCATCAAAGCTCACATTTCAGTCTCTGTTACCACATCAGCAGTGGAATGTTTCATGTCAGAGTAGAATGCTGACCTTTATTGACACATAGATCAACACATAGGGTGTTTTCGGAAGACAGATAGTGTCAGCTCTATGTCTCCATTTATTCCCTTCTCCACTCTCCTGTTGCATTGTCAGTGCAGTTGTCTCCTCTTCTGAAACAGGAGCATCCTAAATAGTACATCTCAATTAGACCTCATGCTAGTGCTTGAGCACTGTTATGCTTGAAATTGTAGGTCTAATAGTTTGACACCAACAACATAATGGTTTCTGTCTGGCCACACGTATTTTTGTGGTACGAACCAGTGCAGCTATAAATGCTAGCATGTCATCAGGCTGTATCACTGACTTCATCTTTCCTGTGAATGAGACGGCAGCATCTCCAGTGTTGACAAAGTTCTGAGGTTTTCACTCACAAATTGGTCAATATATGACGGGCAAAGGCATATCTTAAGCATAATTATTAATGTTCTGTGTTGTTTACTTATTTTTGGGCAAATGTCTGTGATGATGATCTTCTAGCCCTTTCCACCATTAGATTAGGAAGGTCCCTTAAAAATTATGGCTGTTCTCTTTTGTTGAGATCCTGATTTGATGGATAGACTGACATAATGCAAGCAGGAAATATCTCTAATTAGCCCCAGTAGGTATTAACCCAGTTTCAGGAGGTGTATTTTAAGGCGTGCCATGAAAATGGGGCCCCTGACCCAGCAGAGGCTCTTAAAATTCAAGAAGGGGGAGGTGTTCCTGTCCTGTCCTGTCCTGTGAAGTGAACCTGGATGCCTTCTTAACAGGCCCACCCAGAATGGCATGGTGAAGTCTAATAGTGGTGGGAAAATGGCAGAGAGTATCCTTCATGCTTGGCACGCGGTTCTGAAACGACGACGGGAGACGGATTGAGGGGCGAGCAGGCGGGGTTCTGAGTTGGCAGTGATGTGGAGGATAGAATGGGAGTCGAGCCAAAGCCGGTAGGCTTTTTTTTATTGTTACTCAGCGGTGGAGACAGGAGGTTCAGCTGGTAGGTTGATGGCCTTGCCCATACCTTTGTGTGAGGCATAGTGCACTGTTGGGCGTGTGTGGTGTATTGGCGAGTGGAGTTGGCATGCTGACCTGTTTATCGGTGTGATGTGAAGCAGAGAGGGAAGGCTGAGGAAGGCTGGAATGAGCGGAGTCATCGCGCTTCTGTAACTCGACGCCGAACCGTGATGGCCCACAGCAGCTGGGCAGCTACCATATCTGTCTGTAGGTGCGTATGTGTGGCGTGTGTGTGCTGTGGGGTTTGTGTGTATAAGAGTATGACAGAGCGTGTGTCTGCACTTCACTCTCCCGGCTCCCCCCAAAGAAACACTGAATCCTTCTGGGTGTGTGGATGGGTATGTGTGCTTTAGGACCCCAGATCCCAGGTCATGTACATGGATGCTTGCAACTGCCACTGACTGAATGTAATGTCTTCAACACTGACTGTCTCAGCAAAAGCTAGAGATGCACTGATCCGATACACTGGATTGGTATTAGTGCTTATAATTATGTGTGTTACAACAATAATAACAATAATAATAATGATAGTAATAAATATAATAATATTTAGTTATATAGCACTTTTCACTACTACGCTTGAAATAGTAGGCAAATAGACAAAAAAAATAATATCATGAATTCTCAAGAAGTTTTCACTATACACAATATGTCACTTTTTTTTTTTTCAGGAGAAAATGAGCCACATTACATCTATGCATATGCAAGCCTAAATAAATATGTTTTTAATCTGGATTTAAACAAACCATTGAGCCTATCAAGGTTTCATTCCTAATATTCTTTGGGGTTATTTCAGAGATTAGAATCTCTGTAAGACACAGTATGTGACCCTAAGCCAGCCTCGTCTGAGTGAAGTGCTCTTCGGGTACTGGGTAAATGTGACCAGCGCACTAATGATGCCGTTACTTAAACACAGTCATAAGAGTGTCACTCTGAATCATGCAGCACAATAAATTCTCACTTTATGCTTTTAAAAATGAAACTGAATGCAGGAAATAGTTATACATGATCGCATTACAGGCAAACTTTTTTTTTAAGGAGGTGAAACAAGATGAAAATGCGCAAACATTAAATGTTTCCCTGCAAAACGCTGTAAATTGTCAAAAAAAAAAGTGGCATGTCAGAATAAAAGCCCTGTCCGGGAAGGATTTTCTGATTCTGTTGTACTTCACAGCAGCTTCGTCAGCAAATGACCATTTCAGAGATAATTAAAATGTGTACAGTGACAGGGCTTAATATGTCCATTAATTACAGATATCAGATAAGTTTATTAATCATCTACAAAGGACCACTCTAAATAAAGTGTTACCGTGTTTCCTTTTTCAAACATACTTTCTGTTCTTGCATATCGCTGTTGTCGGAACAAAACCTCGTATCTCCATTTTTGATGTTTTTCAGTTTTTGACGTAAGAATGGACTAAAAAACTGACCCAAAATGACTTTGAAAAAAGTCTGGTTCCGACAACAGCGATATATTGGCCCATTAGACTGTACATGTAGACCTACCAAATGAGGTGCAGCCATCTAAAGAGATGCGAAACAACATGCTACCTGGTAGCTTTGTTCAAAGCATTTAAAGAACTGATATCTTTCTCCCAAAAATAGTTTGAGCCCTTAACAGGTCGACCTAGCTCAGGGTTGGAATGGCTGTTTTTGTCAGGAAAAGGATAGCATTTAGATACAGTGTGCAAAAATAATGATCCTGCTTGAAAACACTGTTTAATCCAGTGGTCACCAAACCTCCTCCTAGAGATCTACCTTCCTGCAGGGTTTAGTTCCAACCTGCATCTAACATGCTTGCCCCTCTTACCTAACACTGGTCCAGCCAACCAAGGAGTTCAGAAGAAGTTAATTAGCTGGAGTAGATAGTGGTTGGAAATAGACTCTGCAGGAAAGTGTATCTCCAAGACCAGGGTGGGTGACCACTGGTTTAAGCAGTTAGCATCGGCTACATTCGTGTTTAACACATAGCTAACACAAAGCACTTCAGCACATTGGCAGCCTGCCACGTAAGCTCAGCTTCTCTAGCTTTGAGGGGCCTCGTAGGTTGCTGGTGTATAGAGAACCCGTAGAGGGGGACGTGTATATGTTAGCTATGTGAGTTGGCCTGGATGGCTGTGTCTGTTAAGCTAATAAGTAATCTGATGTACAGGAGTAATGTCAGAATCTCATTCGTACTGTGGGAAAGTGTACTGCTTTAGCGCCTAAGCCTGCCTTCGGCCCGCCCTCGCAATTCATCACTGTCTTGACACTTTTATATTGGTCTCAGTGCTCAGGGACTGGAGTGAAGAGTTTTGATTGTAGTGTGTGTCTTAGAAGAAGGACAAGCAAGACAAGCCTCAATTTTTACGACTTTGTATGGCCTTACCACCTAATGAACTGCTTAATAGGGGTAGGGTGTATTATTTTTTAAAAAAATAGCTGAAAAGTCTTTTCTGAATATCCCAATAGATTACATATTTGTTTATATTCTAAAATTGGACTCTAATAATAATAGGTCTCATTTTTTATTAAATGTGTTCTTGAGAAAGGTTCTAGGAAACAGTCTACGTCGGATTCATGACATCTTCTTAAACTGCAGAACTGTTCTCACCTTTGTGCTCTTGAGTGTTTTCTAGATTCTGTTTTTACCTAATAACAAATCTCAAATAAGAAAACACTGGCGAACGTCAGAATCTTCATAAAAACTGTGTAAGTGGGTTTTACGAAGAAATTTCTTCTTAAGAACAGTTGAATGAGTCCATAGGCTTGATTTGGCCCATAAAATTAGCACTTTATGTTTTGACCACATAGTGATGCCGAATAGTTCTGCAGTACTGTTAAATATCAATTATGTCAAATGTCTAGAGCTTAAATAATTTATTTTAAAATTTTTATCCTACTGAGCTTAAAGAAACATTTTCCCCTTTGTGAACTGATCACTTCCTTTGCAGTGAGTCTCGTGAGTGCATTTGGTGCTTTTCGCAAACACTCCCACAATGCTTCTTGTTTTAAACCAGCAAATCGGAACTGCTCCACATTTCCTTGATGTACATATAACAGACAAAGTCCTGATTTGATAAGATTAATATAAGTAATATTATTAAAGTAATTAATTTAAGTACAATGAGGTCCAAACATCTGAGACCACTAGCATAAATGCTTCTGCTTTGCATTATTTTCTAATTTAGTACAAAGTATTTCATTACAAATTCTGTAATCATATCAAAATATAACAATTTGTGTGAAAAGTAGAACAATTCCCTTGAATTTTGGAAACTCTTTATACTGCATATACCCTTCTATTGCTTTAGTGACAGGGCCTTTCACTGGCCTAGCCTACATTTTATAGCTGTTATTCATATTGCTACAAGTTAAAATATAGCATTAGTCCTGTGCAGACTGTGGGCCTAGACTGGACAAAATGAAGCAGCAAAATTTTGGACACCGTCCTAATTTAAAAATTATATCTCTGGTCAGGGCCGTTGACATCACAGTGGTAATGTTGTTACTGTGTTATTATTGTAACACTTAACACAAACACTTTCTGGTATTGTATTTAAACCCTATATGTTATTATGATGATAATTGTTTTTTTAAATTTATTATGGCTTTGGTAATGAGTTGTTTGCCTATTCTAATATACTAAAAAACACCAAAGTAGCTGTTGACTGTAAACTAGGCATTGTTCATTCATCAATTTGTGGCTTTAAGTGTTCAATCCTATTGCTGAGTCGAGCTGTGACACATACTGTTTATGCTGCCAAGATCATAATTGTCTGTATTAACATGGTTGGTACTCTCTCAGCCCCATCACTAAGCACTGCCTTGGCCAGTTGGACATTTGCATGTCTATCTATTGTTTTCTAGTTCTTTTTCTCCTTTCATCATGTTGCAGGCCTGGTATAACCAACCGCCCCCTTTCAAATAAATTAAATGCATTTCAGCAAAGCAACTGATATGTATACATAGAAAGTCCCATTTTCCCTTCAAAAATGACTCGGCCAAAGTTGGTCTGTGAAGATATTTGAGTTGACCTGCCAGAAAGTTACCCTATCCCCACCCCCTCCCCCACTGAGAGAGGAAATATTCTAATACGCTGTATAATTTCTTAATTTCTTTCCATTTAAAATTGTATTTTAAATATATTTAAAGTTGCAGTGTGTATGATTTAGTGGCATCTAGTGGTGAGGCTGCAGATTGCAACTGACTGAATGCCCCTCCCTCACCCTCCCTTTCCAAGTGTGTAGTAAAATCTATGGTGGCTGTCAGGTTTTCTGCCATCGCCTGCCCCGATTTCATTTTGTTACTTCATGTTTTTACTTCTTTGACAGAGTGGATGTAACCTCATTTGCTTTTTCTTGTGCTAAATATTAAATATTAACCCTTTTGGTTTGTCCATTCTGGGCTACTGTAGAAACATGGCAGCGTGACATGGCGGCCTCTGTTAGAAGAGGACCTGCTCCCTATGTAGATACGAAGGGCTCATTATAAGCTATCGAAAACACAGCGATTCGTAGTTACAGGTAATTATACACTAATAAAAGCATGGTTTTATATACTATATTCCATTTCTGCCCCCTAAATCTTACACACTGCACCCTTAAGCATTTTAGTAACAAAATGTAATGAAATATTGTACCATAAATTCTCAGTTTGAAATGTATCTACCTTTTTTATTTATATATATTTTTTTGTCTTTTTAGTCACCACCCTGCTCAAACATTGCAGTTTGGTCCCCCAAGACAAAAAGTTTGTGCACTAAGGTGATGCCATTTTTAGGCTGAAATAGATGTCAGGTACTTTAACATTATTGCCTGATAAGAACTTACAATCAGACCCGCTGATTATGTCTCTGAATCTAAATTGCAGTTAGCTTTTTGCTAATAATTAGTTAAAAATAAGACTACACACTATGCCACAGTGTGATTGTACTTTGATTGTATTGTAACGTGTTGGGACTGTGATATGCCTTGTAATGTATAACAAATACATTAGTGAGTGAAAAGTATTGGATATCGGTATCGGCCAAAAATTCTCCTATGGATGCATACCTGCACCCTCAGAAATACAGGTATGAAACTGTCACTGGGGCACTGCCCCTCTTGTCACTGCGGTGGTACCCTCAGTGGTAGATCTCAGTATCTGTAGTCAGGGAACATAACTGTACCATAATCCATTGAAATGATATTTTCTAAGCTGTACTGACTCCACACACCCCGTCTCGTCTCGTCTCCAGGCTTTTTATTTTACTGTTCTGTTTTAAAACATTCGGTTATGAAAAGGTACAAATACAAACTTTTCACCTGGAAAAACTTATTTAAGGTTCACAGCTGGGCCTTAAAACTATTGTTTGTAACTTTTAAGGGGAACATTTACATTGTTTGTACCTGGATAAACGAAAAATGTACCTGAACAGACCCTTTATTTCTAACAGTGTAGCTGTAACGTGATTAAAGTTTGGCCTGTATTATCTGGACCTGAATTAGTCATGTATGTTAGACCACTTGAGTACCTGGATTCATTAAAACTTGCAAAACTCTGAGACTTGGTCAGGATGCTCACAGCACACACACAAAAAATGTGATTAGTGGTGATTGAGTAATTTGATGCTTATTTGCATATTGCAGCATTTTGCTGCGTTAGTTTTGCATGGACCGATATTGCAGTGATGATTAACAGTGTATTGTACCCACAGAAAAAAAAAAAAAAGATTTGTAATGAATGTAATGTAGTTTAAAATGATTTCTTAATCATGTTAAAATATATTACAATATTAATATATTATAGTTATCATTATAGTCATGGTTTTATTATATTATAATTGTATGAAATTATTGTCATATAATTTATTATTAGTATTATTATTATTATTATTATTATTGGTCTGTTTACTTGAATTTTATAGATAGTTTACTATCTTTCTGAAGATGATCTGAAGATAATAATTTTTCTTTAATAGTGCAGCACTATTAAAAATGCACAAAGCACATTTAATTATGTGAAACATATTAAGCTACTCTGGCCTAATACAAGTATAACTGAATAGGATAAATATGGACCTTAATGCAGCAGTGCAACATTGCTTCTTTGAGAGAAGTTTTATCATCAGTTAGAGTCACCGAGTTTAGTCTGACTGCAGACAGAAAGGTAACATACTATTTACTTTAATTGTAAGGATTTATTGGACTTTTCTTTCAAAACAAAAAATACAAAAAAAATAGTTGGCAACAGGAACATTGCTAATTTATGTTTATTATATTCTAACCCTGCTGTGTGAAACTCTGTCTCTGGATGTTTTAAGCTAAATATTTACTTAAATATATTAGCAAAGGTTAAGGTTTCACATTTGGTGTCTAATAATGAAAAGAATAGGACAGGGAATTTAACACCTAGCTGGGTGTCAGCAACCTCCTGTAAGCTTGCCAACTTTTATTTACACATTTTATGTCCAGACGTTTGTAGACGCTTATTCATCCAGCGTTTCTCATGAAATTAACTCATGCTTATACAGAAGTTCTTCCCCTTTGTTGCAATATCGACTTCCTCTTTTAGGAAAACTTCACACTAAATGTTTGAACATTGCTGTGAAGTTTTGATTGCATTAGAGCATGAGCGAGGTTAGGTACTGATGTTGGATGGTCAGTTCTGGATCACTTTAACTCAACTCAGGTACACACATATCTTACATCAATCAAAACATAAGCTGCTGGTGTAGGAATCCAATCAAACCACACGCTCCCACTTTCTAAGGCAGTCTAAACTATATTTACAGTATTAATTTACTAAAGTGTGGTGATCTTCTTGGTGTAGTAGTTGGCTCCTGCACTGTACTAAAGGCATGTGGAACACTGTTCTCTGATACGGCGGTAAAAACTTGTTAGGGTGATTTTCTTACAATAATCAAATCTGCTGTTTGTGCCGCCAGGTTTTAAACCTGCTGTAAAACTGTTTAATTGTAAAGGATCTGCGGCAAGATGACGTGGATGTCTGGCTAGAATTCATGATGGCGCTTTCCATGAATAGAGTTCATTTTATGCAAAGTAATTAATTCAGATGTTGTCAGTGTTATTTTCCCAACTCAGGCTGTCAAATCACAGACTATGAGCTGTTTTCACCATAAATGGCTGAATAACAGAGTTGAAGTGAGTAACGGGGCTAAACACAGAGGTCATATTCCCTGATATTAATGCAGTAAAAAACATAAAGTATACAACATAGAGCAGAAGGGAAAGTTAAAATTGTTTTAAAATGTTTTTGTTAAAATATTTATTTCAAGCCATTTTCATTTTATTTTTATTTAACAACTTATTTAGCAGGGTCATGAATTTAGCCTCAAGTAAGCAGCATTCAGGAATGGTTTGCTTGACAGAGTGCACATGTTGCATGCTAACCACTAATAACCTTATTGTTTACATACATCAAAAAAAAAATTATGTTTATTCTTTTTTTTTTCCTAACAGTAATTTTGGTAATAGGGATTGCTTGAGTGCTTCACTCGTGCAGCCAAATTAATTTTTTCTGTGTAAATTGAAAATAAAGTGAGAATACCTGCTTGTCTGATGGTCTTTTTGCAGTAAACAACAAAATGATATAAATTCTTGGATATATCATAATCAATGGAATGCTGCCTTTTGTTGGGGCTGGTTTGGGTAACAGGTTTGCATAAAATGTGGGACAGATTAAGCGACTTTTTTTGTTAAATAAAAAAAATAATAGGAAAAAAATATTCTTTTAACATTAAATGGCTTACAAATGAACCAAATAACATTGTGCAATTTTTTTCTTAAGATTCATGACATTCTTAAACCGCTAAATTGTTCTTACCTGAGAACAAATCCCAAATAAGACAAATGTCAGAATCTTGACTTGATCTTCAGTGAAAACTGTGTGAGTTTTAAGAAGAAATTTCTTCCTAATAAGAATGGTTGGTGAATGAGGCCCGGTGTATTTATGAAGTTATTAAAAGACTTTAATGAGTACATTTCATAGAGAAGGTCAATGTCAGTGAGGTGGGAAAGCCCAAAATGACCATATTAAACAGCAGCACAGACATTTTAAGTGGTTTTGTGATAATGTAAATATTAACCATAACTGCTATTTAAAGGACTTCTCTGATTAAATTCTTTTCAAGCTTGGTTATTTTTTGGGGGCTTAAAAAAGACAACCAAATGCTAAATACAACATAGTAAATAGAGAAATAGAGGAACGAATAGCAACGAGATGTGTACTTGAGTATTTGAATATTTCTGGCCAGGCCTAGAGACTCTCAGAAATAGGGGTGCCGTAAAGAATTTAAAATTGCTAATCAGAAGGGTCTTGGGGTACGTTTGGACGTATACTCTGTCTCCCTTTGTGCTCTACTTGAAGTAAAAATGTTTCCATGTAACGTTTGCTTTGTTACCCACATGTATTGATTGCTTGCCAGGTCAAGGATCAGTTTGTCTTGCTTGTTTCTAAAATATCAGTATACAGTTATACATATTGCATTAGCATAAATATCCGAAGCTCTATTTTATGTATTCCATCCTACCAAAATACACTGCACGTCTGTTTACTTTCCCCTTAATCTCATGTATTGTCATGTTTATGATGTGCTGGCAAATCACTCTTTGTCCCGCTCTGTGCAGCTCAGGATAGAGATTCCCCGGTGAGGTGGTCTCTCTTCGCGATGCGAAGATGGCTAGCCTGGTCCCTCCCACAGGCAACGAAGCGTTCCGGCGCTTCACCCCAGAGTCACTGGCGGAGATCGAGAGGCTCATCAAGGAGAGGAAAAGCGGAAAGCACGTAGAGGGAGCGGAGCCAGAGCCAGAGGCACCTAGCAGTGACCTGGAGGCAGGGAAGAATCTGCCTATGATCTATGGAGACCCACCAGATGACCTGCTCAACACACCCCTAGAGGACATAGACCCCTTCTACAAAGCACAGAAAGTCAGTCTTGATGTTCACTTATATTCCGCATGTGAAGACAGTTTGTACACTGAATTAAACTGAATTTAATGTGCAACTCACTACAAGCGTCCTCTTTTAAATCTTCTGCCAGTCTGCTTTTATTTACTTTAATGTGTTGTCGTTTTTCAGACGTTTATTGTAATTAGCAAAGGAAACACAATCTACAGGTTCAACGCAGAACCAGCCTGCTACATTCTCAGCCCATTTAACCCCGTCAGAAGAGGAGCCATTAAAATTCTCATACATTCATATCCTTTTTGCATTACTTGTTCAGAAACAGCGTCTTTGAATGTTGTTTTCGTTTTAAACGTGCTTACACATGCTCAGAAATCCCCTGTTTGTAGCTCTACCTTTCTAGTGTAGCCCATCTGTTGATGTTAGCCCTTCATCAGTGGTCAGTTTCTGGCCATAGAGCTGCTGATTTTTTCAGTGGCAAACTAGCAGTGAAACTGACACCGCTGTGTCCAATACACTCATACGAGGTGAGAATGGACCACCTCCCAAATAATATCTGGACAGCAGCAGCCCTGTGGTCAGAAACTAACCAGTGTTGAATGGGGTAGAGAGGGGCTGATTAACTGTGTAGCAGATGGGTTAGTGGTCAGAAACTGACCAGTGATGAATGGAGTACAGGGGAGCTGATTAACTGTGTAGCAGATGGGCTAGGGGTCAGAAACTAACCAGTGATGAATGGGATAGAGGGGAGCTGATTAACTGTGTAGCAGATGAGCTAGTGGTCAGAAACTAACCAGTGTTGAGAGGGGGAGAGGTGAGCTGATTAACTGTGTGGCAGATGAGCTAGTGGTCAGAAACTAACCAGTGTTGAGAGGGGGAGAGGTGAGCTGATTAACTGTGTGGCAGATGAGCTAGTGGTCAGAAACTAACCAGTGTTGAGAGGGGGAGAGGTGAGCTGATTAACTGTGTAGCAGATGAGCTAGTGGTCAGAAACTGACCAGTGATGAATGGGGTAGAGTGGGGCTGATTAACTGTGTAGCAGATGGGTTAGTGGTCAGAAACTAACCAGTGATGAATGGGGTAGAGTGGGGCTGATTAACTGTGTAGCAGATGGGTTAGTGGTCAGAAACTAACCAGTGAGGAATGGGGTAGAGGGGGGCTGATTAACCATGCAACAGATGGGCTAGTGGTCAGAAACTAACCAGTAAATGGGGCAGAGAGTGGCTGGTTAACTGTGTAGCAAATGGGCTGGTGGTCAGAATTTGACCATTGATAAATGGGGTAGAGGGGGCTGATTAACTGTGTAGTAGATGAGCTAGTGGTCAGAAACTGACCAGTGATGAATGGGGTAGAGGGGGGCTGATTAACTGTGTAGCAGATGAGCTAGTGGTCAGAAACTGACCAGTGATGAATGGGGTAGAGGGGGGCTGATTAACTGTGTAGCAGAAGGGCTACGGTATAAGGCAGGAAGTGGACAGTGGGTGTCATTACAAGGTGAGGGTGTGTTTTATTGATATAAGCTTTTTTGTAAGATTATGATTTTGCATGTATGCATTTATTACATGTATGATGTTTTTTACCTTAACTCCTTATTAAGTTATTTAGCATGTTTATCATGATTACCATTCTCTCCAACTGTGTATTCATGACCATGAGTAACCCTCCTAGCTGGAGTAAAACTGTGGAGTAAGTACTGCTTATTTATTCATCTTTCACTACACTACAAGACAAATGACAGGCATAGTCTTCATCATTGCCTCATAGTCTAATACGTGGTGCCCAATCCTGATCCTGGAGATCTGGCACCCTGCAGAGTTAAGCTCCACCCCTAATCCAACACACCTGATCCAGGTAATGAAGGCCTTCAGGAGCATCTGCATATTAGAGCCAGGCATCTGAACTGTCCAGGGTGGCAGATCTCCAGCATCAGCATTGGGCAGCCCTGGTCAGAAAATTATTAAATAATTTATTCATCCTTAAAACACTAGTTCAAATAAAAAATCTAATCTATGCAATTTTCGGTGAACTAAAATTGTGCAAATTTAATTTTTGATAAATGCGGTTACTCTACAGATCATAAAGTGTATTTGACAGCTTACTGTGTTTTTATTTTTTCCATTTTTTTATTAATTATCAGACTTCTGTTTCCACTGATAACATCTTTCCTAATAATGTTATATTTCCATTTGTTTCTAGATATGTTTTTACCGGTATATATACCTTCGAAGCGACAGTCAAAGTGATATCGAGAGGTTTCTGTATTAGAAGTTTTACATTCCTTCGTGATCCATGGAATTGGCTGGATTTCATGGTGATCAGCATGGCGTGAGTATTACAGTCGCTCTGGGGGCTTCCCACAGTTTTCAACCTGAGTCTGTATCAGTTTTCTTAATCTAATTAAAGACAGGCAACGTATGTGAGCTCTGTGTTAGCTGTAGTTCATAGTGCTCTCACCTCACATGGTATGCTTGGAAATGATTTGATTTCTCTCGGGAATTCAGGTCTGGTCTTTTGTGCTGTTTGCGTAAGCGATACTCCTTATGCTTAATAGGTAGTTATACTATTCAGGCACCTTCTCCATGACAGTCAGCTAACACTGCCATTTGGCTGAGGCGGTGGACAGGTCTAAATATAGCACCCATTAAAACGTATCATTTACACCAGCAACGACTCCATTTCAGAGCAGCAGAGTAGCCAGTAAGGAAAATACCAAGATCAAAACAACACACTTTTGAGCTGTAAATTGTAGTTTGCCTGCTCTTGCTAACTCAATAATAGGGAGTCTATTTTCCTTGGAAGACTTTACACTAGATGTTGGAACATTGCTGTGAGGATTTGATTGCATTCACCCACAATAGCATCAGTGAGGTCAGGTAACTGATGTTGGATGATCAGTTCTGGATCACTCCAGCTCATCCCAAAGGTAGTTGATGGAGCTCCATCAATCTGGAGAACACAGTTCCACTGCTCCACAGCTTCACTGGTGGGCTTTTAACCCACTAGCCGATGCTTATCATTCGGCATGGTGACCTTAAGTTATTGTGCGGTTGTTCAGGGTGTCTCATTCTAATGGTCAGTGCTTTCGTATGGAGATCTGATGTGCAATCAAACGCCTGTGGGTTCAGCAACAATGGATGCACCATACAGTAGCTGAATTCACCAATTGGAAATAGTGTCTGGATCCTTTTGTAGACACACATATTTCTTTATAGCGCTCCGCTGCCCAAACATGCATGTGTTCCAAGCATCCACCAGAATACCTCATTTCCCATCTTAGCAGGGGAAAGTGCTGTTTTGTTGGACAGGAATTAACCAGGAATTCCAGGCTATGATGCTTGTTAATGTCTTTCATTATTCATGTGTTTGAGCTGCATCTCATCAGTGTGTTTCATTTCAGCAAGTCTTTATGTCTTCTGCTTCTAGGTACATCACAGAGTTTGTTGATCTTGGCAATGTGTCAGCACTTAGGACCTTCCGTGTACTCAGAGCTCTCAAAACAATCACTGTTATTCCTGGTAGGTTCCTGCGTTTCAGTTCTCTAATATGTAAAGTATGGGAGGATGCACTGTAAACTTAAATTGGTTGACTTAAAAAATTGCATAAGTACTTAAGAATTAAATGTACTACTTATTTAATAAGTTACTTAACAAGTTCAAGCTTAAATAACCAGATATACGAGTTATATTTACTTTCTAATTTTCAGATAATTTTAAATGGTTTCCACTGAGCTGGCAGTGCTCTACTTTTACAAGTTCTGCTTAATTTGTAATTTTTTGTAACTTTAATCAAATACTCTTCTCTGTGTAATATATGGGCATCAATTAAAACTACTCCATTATATTAAATGGACTGTTTCATACAATAATGAGTAAATGGCATAGATGAGACTAGACACGCTCATTTCTGAGTACTCTAATAGCTTCATGCAGTTAGTATTGATGGCTCCAGGTTGAACTGATAAACCTAAACACAAAACACAATCATGGCGAGAATGACAACAACATGTAAAAGAGAGCATGCTCTCATTTTTGTCTCATTCTGACAGAAAAATAACATTTTGCAAAGAGATACCACCTTGATGAGATATTTATAAATTGGAAATATAAGCGTCAGTCATCAGTGACCAACAAAACCACTACTAAGTACTAGGAAGTGTCTTGGGGGAAAGAGTGTAGGACATATCCAAATTAACTGAACTAGATTTAATTTAGTATCTAAGGACTATATAAAAATAGTATGTGTTACTAGATTTATATTTTAAACCCATTTACAAAAAAGCTGGCATCATAGCAAATATAAATGAAAATGGAATCCAATGTAATTTATACCTCTATTTAATTGAAAATACTACAAAGACAACATATCAAATGTTGAAATTGAGAAATGTTGTTGTTTTTTGAAAAATGTTTGTCCATTTTGAATTATTGCCAGCAACACGTTTCAAAGAAGTTGGGACGGGGGCAAGATCTCAAAAATAACTCGGTTAATTGGCAACAGCTGAGTAACGTGATTGGATACAAAAATGCATGGACAAATAGTTTAACAATTCAAGAATAACGTAAATTAGCAAAGAACTTCATTATCCATGCTACATAACATAATTACAAAATGCAGAGAATCCAGAGAAATCTCTGTATGCAAGGCTGGAAACCAGTATTGGCTGGCCATTATCTTTGGGCCCTCAGGCAGCACTGTATTAAAAACAGACACGAGCAGAAATCACTACATGGGCTCTGTCCACAAATGCAGGTTACATCTCTATGATACAAAAAAGAAACCATATATAAACAGGATCCAGAAACACCACCGCCTTCTCTGGGCCCAAGCTCAGTTAAGATGGACTGAGGCGAAGTGGAAAAATTTACTTTTGTCTGACAAATCAAAATTTGAATTTATTTTTGGAAATCAGCAGAGTTCAAAGGCCGGCATCCGTGATGGTATAGGGGTGCATTAGTGCACATGCCGTGGGTGACTTGCACATGTGTAAAGGCATCCTTAAAGCTGAACGATATATACAGGTTTTGTGAACATATGCTGCCATCCAGACAACGTCTCATTCAGGGAAGGCCTTGCATTTTTCAGCAAGACAATGCCAACCCACATTCTGCATGTATTACAACAGCATGTCTCCACTGTAAAATAGTCCAGGTGCTGCTTGCAGTCCAGACCTGTCATCCACTGAAAACTTTTGCCGCATTATGAAAAAAAAAAAACCACAAAGGAGATCCCAAAATGTTGAGCAGCTGAAATCAAGCAAGAATGGGAAAACATTTCACTTTTAAACCTGTAGCAACTGGGCTTCTGAGTTCCCAAACACTTGTACATTTGTTAAACTTTTTTGAAACACGTAGCTGGCATCAAATTCAGGATTTGAAATGTTGTCATTGTAGTATTTTCAACTAAATATATATAAATGACATTGCAATCTCTTTTTATTTACATTTTCCCAACTTTTTTTGGGTTGTAGTAATTTCAGCAAATAAGCAAACCAAAAAAAAGATGAAGTTAGTGCACTTACTATGTTTTACAGTGTGGGGCGCAACCTTATATATAGTTCTTTGCTGAATCACTTTTAAAATATTTGAGGAATTTCTTCAAAACAAGTGTCCTACACACCTAAGCTACAAATGAAAATGTAAACATTGTTTCAATCACCCACTGTTTTTAGGTTCCACCAAAGATTTATTTTTAACAGACTGAGGGGCTGATCAAAAGATGACCAAAAGTATGTCCTACTTGGACCTGTTTAACTACATAAAAAATCTGTGTGACATTTGACCTGCTTTAAGCTGTGCTCCCCTAGTTTTCCCAGTTCTCTCATTTTTACAGTTTCACTCTCTTCTTCTCAGGTCTGAAGACTATTGTTGGAGCTCTGATCCAGTCGGTTAAGAAGATGGTGGATGTGATGATTCTGACCGTCTTTGCCCTTGCCGTATTCGCCCTCATTGGCCTGCAGCTGTTCATGGGGAACCTGCGCCATAAGTGCATACGGTGGCCCATCTCCAACAGCACGGTGGACTCCACCCTTGCCTACAACACGACTTTTGTCAACAGCACTTTTGACTTCAAAGAATACGTCGAAAATGAAGGTGACTTCAGGTTCAGAACTGTTTGGTTATTGAAATTGTTCCATCTGATGCTTTTTTGCTGCACAGTGTATTGTGTATTATGTGCTGTATTTATATACACCTGTTTTTCAGAAAACCAGTACTTTCTTGATGGCAGCCTGGATGCCTTACTATGCGGCAACAGTTCTGATGCTGGGTATGTTTACCATCCAGTTTATGATATAAATTCCTCATTTAAAGGTGCAGTTTATAAGATTTAGTGGCATCTAGCAGTGAGGTGAGGTAAGGATTCACCCTCCTTTGCCTTTTCTTGGGCTAAATTATAAGTATGATCCTCCATTTGTCAAAATTTGCATTCTTAAACTTCTCACAACACGAAATGGTTAGCCAGCACTGGCAGCAACCACTGATTCTTCTTCTTTCTATGCCTTCCAACCGGTGCTATAGCGCCACCAAACACAAGCTGCCGCTTCAACTTCTAGAGCCAGTGGTTTTGTCTGTTCTGGGCTACTGTAGAAACACAGTGGCACAATATAGCGGCCTCTGGTGGACCCGTTCCCTATGTGAATATGAAGCGCTCATTCTAAGCTAACAAAATACAACAAGATTCATATTATATGATTATACACTAATGAAAACATGGTTTTGTATCCTATATTCCGTTTCTGCTAATAGCGCTACCTAAATCTTACACACTGCAGCTTTAATGTACAGGAAAGGAAGGATAATGACGCTTATTTATAATATGATTATACACTAATGAAAACATTGTTTTGTATACTATATTCCATTTCTGCTAATAGCACTACCTAAATCTTACACACTGCAGCTCTAATGTACAGGAAAGGAAGGATAATGAACAGTGGTTAAGGTTAGATCAAAGTCCAGTGCTATGATTTGTCATAGCTGCTGTTTTGACAGAAAGTGCCCAGAAGGTTACACATGTATGAAAGCTGGGAGGAACCCAAACTACGGCTACACCAGCTACGACTCCTTCGGCTGGGCCTTTCTTGCCCTCTTTAGGCTCATGACTCAGGACTACTGGGAGAACCTCTTTCAGCTGGTGGGTAAATCATTTGAAACAATGAATCTGTCAGTTTTCTTTTTTTGTAAGACTAATTCTGCATGTGAAGATGTAAATCACTTTATTTTGTGCTTACAGATGTGTTATAGAATACAACGATTTGATACGAAGATTTTGATATTTCGTGAAAGACTACTTTCATGTTCATTTAACATGTAAAAGACTTGCGGTCATCTGGCAATTACTAGTCAGTTTAAGCAGTTATTAACCAGTGCTGTTCTTAGCTCTGACGTTATTGTGGCTCTGTTGGCGTAACCTCCTCATTCCCCACGCCTTTTCTTAGACTCTGCGTGCTGCTGGGAAGACCTACATGATCTTCTTTGTGGTGGTCATATTCCTGGGATCCTTCTATCTCATCAACCTGATCCTGGCTGTAGTTGCCATGGCATATGATGAACAGAACGAGGCCACACTGGCTGAGGCCCGGGAGAAAGAGGAAGAGTTTCAGAGACTGATGGAGCAACTCAGGAACCAAGAGCAACAGGTCAGGTGACTACAATGCCAGAGGTCAGAGGTAGGGCTGGGAATCGTTTAAAATATTTTGATACTTTTTTATTTTGATTTTTATTTTGAATTCAGTACCAAAACGAAATATATAAACTGTACTTCATTTTTAGTTGCGATAAGGAAGACATGTAGACGCTCATTTATTAATCTGATAAACACAACCACTACAGTCTTGCAATGGAGGAAAAAAACTCTACAGTCAGTTTGCTTACCTAATCCAAGGAGCTTACACGCTAAAAAGGGCCTTATTAGCCTACGTGGTTATTGCTCTGTGACATTTACCCCCTCCAAATGACATCCTTGACTTTTTTGCTCGTTTTACTTTTTTAATTACTGCACAAGGGGCTGTTGTCATCTAACTTTAACTTAAGCCCAAATTTAAACCTCTACCCATGGTTTTCGAGTGTTACCTTGTGCCTTGGAACTGAGTTAGAAGGGGTAATGGTTGAAATCTTCCCCTATGAAATGGGACCCTCAAATAAAAAAGCACATTACTTCATTTACAGGCTACTAGCGGTGCTCTGTGGATGACCCTGCCAGTCTGCAGTAATAGCAGAGGAGGGTAAAGTTCATTTAGCTAGCTAGCTACCAAGCGACCAAGCACGCTACTAGCGATTTTTTATGCTTGTTATGAAGAAAAGGTCCATAATGCATTGAAACGACATTGAAGATAAGTATAATACATTGGTTATCGTAATTTTTTAACAGAGAAAATACTCCGATTTGTGGGTTTCTTTGGTCGCTGTCTTTGGTCTTTGGTCTTCATTTGAAGTGTGCCTATGAAAAACCTCCGTTTGGAGGGCCATATAGCCATAACACTTCACCCTACCCCTCGATTTCAACAACAGTCGGGACATCCTGTCCCCTAGGTGTGAACGCACAAAACAGAAGGGTTAGGGCTACGTGGTAGGAACAAGAGGGGAAATGGGATTGGGCCTTACTTTTACTACATAACTTGTACCTCTGCCACCATGTGACATAGTTGTACATGCTGTCTCTTCGCTGTCTGTGCATCAGTGAGCCAGTCTTCTAATAATCTTTTACGGGATTGCAGAATATAAAAACAGGCACCAATACTTTTTAAACTTTTCAGTGCTCTGTAGTACGAAGATGTTGGTGCCTTTTGCAGAGAGAATAACTACGCAGTGTGAAGTTTGTATATGCACTATATACACTATATGTCCAAAGGTTTGTAGACACCAGCCCATACAGCATTTCTTAAAATCAAGGCTTTTATTACAAACTTTTTCCATCTTTGCTGCAGTAACAGCCTCTAGTCTTCTGGAAAGGTTTTACACTAGGTGTTGGAACATTGCTGTGAGGATTTGATTGAGCACTAGTGAGGTCAGGTACTGATGTTGGATGGTCAGTTCTGGATCACGCCAACTCATACCAGAGTCACTGGATGGAGCTCCATCACTCCAGAGCACACAGTTCCACTGTTCCACAGCCCAACGCTGGGGGGTTTATACCCCTCTTACCCATGCTTGGCAACAGGCGTGGTGACCTGAGGCTCATGAGCAGCTGCTCCAGAGCCTCCCGTTTTATTGACTGATGGTTTAGATGGTTTAGATTATACAAGCTGTATGTGTCTAGTTCAACACCTGTGCCAGGAGGATCTAGATAATGTTGGACATCTTTATTGTAAGTCGATCGCTCTGTCAAACTAAAGAGTTGTCATTGGCTCATTTTTGCTTGTTTTCAGTTGCAAGCTGGTAGTAAGGCATCTTTGGCCAGTCAGACAACTCAAAGCCAGGGGTCAGAAATGGCTGACGATGGGGACGATGTCATAAAGGACTGTAATGGCAGGGTCATCCCACGTCTGATCGTCAGAGCTCCTTCTATGAAAGCGGTAAAGCTTGGCTTTTGTTACCTGCATCTAGTGTGTGATTAACTAGAAGTTCAGCTTTAATAATCTTAGTAATGATTTTTGGGACATTTTTATTTTATTATTTTGGGAAATTATTTTCCGTAATTTTTTACAAGTTTGAAAGGCAACAAGACCAACAAGATCAATACGAGATAAACGTACAGAGGGCAAACTTTTTAAAAATGCGATACTTTGGCTATGCAGATAGCATTAAATATTGGCACCAAGTAAAGAAAATAAATGAATATAGCTTAAAAGGTGTTGCCTCTACATGGCACCTGCAACCCACTGATTTGATTTGATTTCCTACTGACATTGCTACTGTTTATTTGTATTGAAGAATTTCTGACATCAGGATGGTTCAGTGCATTTGTGAAATTAATGTAATGCTCCCAGCTTTATTCATATTGTCAGTGAAGTAAAGTAAGTTTCTGGTACTGAGAATTTAGGATTATTCTGTATTTCTTCCGTCATATTTGCACTTTTTCACATATTTTTCACTTGGGTTACAAAATAACAAGAAAGCCCTGTGTGTAGATTTATGGATAGAAAAAGATAACAGAACACAGATTAATATATGAACATTATGTTGTAATTTAAACTAAGCAGCGTATAAAAATGTCTTTTTAATTTGGTTAAATGTATATATCAGCCCAGTATTACAAGAAAAATCTGCCTGCATCCAAATGTTGCACAGTTCCGCAGACAAATGTTACAAATTACACATGCCCTTTTTCTGTCTTACTGGTCATACTGTAGTCTATAATCCAGTAATGTTTAATTTGTAACAGTGTGCTATTCATTGATGATTGGATGCTGTAGTTAATTTCTAAAGAGCGATGTTTGTCCTTAGATGTGTGGTTTTATATGGTCTGCTTTTTATAGCAAAGATTCTAAAAAAAACATTACCTGATAAATTGTTCTTGATTTTGTATAACAAGGTCTTGTAATTTGCAAGAGCAGGGTTTTCTTATGAGTGGAAACAAATTAGTTTTCATAATTGCAATATATTTTAGCAGCTTTGGGCTAATAACTAGAAGAGCTAGATCAGTAGATAGATAGACATACTTTATTGAGCTCCAGGGGGAAATTTGGACGCTAGAAGACACTGTATTTAACTCACTTTTTGCTTTATAGTTGGCAGAATGTTGGCCAACCAGGAGTAAAAACTGTTAACTCTACTGCATTATTAGCACTATTTATACATAGTTTTTCTCTCTAGCCAGCACCAGAAGAGGAAATGATGGACGATAAGTCCATGTCTTCGAAACATAGCATGATGTACCTGGAGCAGCCCGGACTGTCCAAAAAAGCAGCCAGCCAGCTCAGTGTGCTGACCACAGCTATGGAAGGTACCATTTCAGAGAAAAAAGTATCAGACTTAGACATTTCTGCTGCTGTTTTCATCATGGCTGGGCAATGTGACAATATATATCGTTATCGTGATACGTTAGGTCTCAAAACAAATCTGTTTAACTGGATTTAGGGCGAAATATTGAATAAACATCACTGTGTTCACAGTTTTTGATAGTATTTTTAAAATGTAGGTTCTTTTTTTCTCTGTTCCAACAGATCAGATGTCTGAAAAAATAATATTGTGACACAATATATGTTTTCCATATCACCCACCTCTAGTTTACACACAGTATTTCTACTTATACCACAGCTCATATTTGTGCCCTTAAGCAGCAGATTAAAGCTGTTTTTTTATAATGATCACACATCACAGACGAGTTCTCGTTCATTAGTAGCACTGTTAGTGTTATTTTGGAGTGCAGTACACCTTCAAGTAAAGTTCTCTTTTCCACCACTGAGTGGCGCTGCTGTTAACATCCCTTCATGGTTGAGATGAATGCACACAGCACACACTGAGCCATTTGCGTGACTGTCTTATTTAGCGTGTGTGTTTGCATGCGTGAGATGTGTGAAGTCCCAGTGGTTAGATTTGAAATTCGTTGGGCTTAGGCAGTCAGAAGAGTGGGCCTGCGCTCTAATTTGAAGTGTAATTGCAGAGATTAGTGTGCTCTGGTTAATACTCCGCCCCGCTAGTGAGTGCGTATTGTCTGGAGGTCAGCACACAGGAGCCGAGGTCAAGCATATTGTATGTGGAGAAAGCCCTGTTGACATACCCTGAGTGGTGATAAGCTTCAGGCTATTTCAGCGCCGAGGGGCTGAGTTTAGACACTGCTAAGACTTTTATTCTGTCCTGTTGTTGCCTACTGTGTATCGTAACTAGGGTAGGACTTCATTTACAGGGGTGGAAATTACTTACAGTATTGTGCAAAAGTCAGAGACCACATTTATTTATTTAATTGCCATACAAAATGGCCATTAAGTATGAGTTATTCATTTTTCAGTGTCAGGAAAAACAAGTAGAAAACATATTTAGCAGAAAATTGCACAAAAGCCTCAACCGCTAAATGTGCTTAATGTCCAGTGTTGACTGGAAATTAGATAAGTGAAGGGTAGTCTCTGACTTTTGCACAGACATTTGTACTTTATTCAATGGCTAAATACATGTTTTGTTGATTTTGTAATTATAATTTAACATTTCACCGTCCTTCCCATATGGAAAAAATATATGGACATGTATTTTTGTATGTTTAAAATACATGTTAAACATACTGCAATCCATGCTGAACTACATTCCAAATCTGTTAGCTTTCTGAAAACTACACACGATTGAAAAAAATTATAAAACAAATACAAATAAATACAAAAAACAAATACATTTTTTGGGTGTTTTCATACATTGTAAAAATGTATTTGAGTACATTTGGAATATATTTTTTCCCTTATGGGTTTACAGGGAACCAACTTAAAATGGCAGTTTCTGCTTATTTTAGCCCAGAGTTTCTATTTATTTGCTGAATTTTACATAGAAAAAAAATGTGCCCAACTGTTAAATTATGCAGATAACAGTAATTTTGCATAAAAATTGCGATTCTTGCCGAGGAAGTGTTAATTTGTAAGTAAAATCTCATCTGACCAAGGGTGCCAAAACATTTTTTGCATAAGACTGTTTGTTAATTTGTCTTTGTGCAGTACTGCCCAGAAGACACTGCGAAACGCACCACTGCATCACACACCACCAGAACAGAATACCTCAAACATTTACTTTTTACTTGAAGAATAGATACATTCTGACTCTCCATTTTTTGTCGTTTTTGACATAATTTGAAAATGCCTGTTGACCTTTACATTGTGTGTAAATTTCATGATGAATGGACCAAAGGAAATGGCCGAAAATAACTAGGGGCGGGGGTCTGGTTCCATTAACTAACATTAAAAGTAAAGTATGTTTTTTCCTTTTGGAGATACGAGGTTTTCTTCCAACAACAGCGATATATCACATGTATTTTGGTGGGTTGTTTGTTGTGAATGATACAGTTTCTCCCTGTCTTTCCTCAGAGCTGGAGGAGGCCCAGAGGCCTTGTCCTCCAGGCTGGTATAAGTTTGCTGATATCTTCTTGAAGTGGGACTGTTGTGCACCCTGGATGTTCTTCAAGAAATGGGTTCATTTTGTGGTAATGGATCCTTTCGTGGACCTGGGCATCACCATTTGCATTGTGCTGAATACGCTATTCATGGCTATGGAACACTACCCCATGAGTCATGACTTTGAGCATGTGCTCACTGTCGGGAACTTGGTAGGTATACTATTTTTTGTTGTCACGGTGCAATGTGAAAGAGCCATCAGTATTCCAACCTATTAATGCCCATATTTGTTTAATATGTTCTTTGAGGTTTTAGTTTTGGTCTCTTATCCTATGAAATGCAGGATTTTAGTCACGTGTCTTCTGATTTTTAACAAAACAATAGGAAATCCAAATTTGTTATTTATCCAAGATAAAACTGCACAACTTTTCATCACTTTCATTACAAGTTCTGTTGCATTTTTTGTTATCATACTAAATCTAGATACATTCAAAGACATGAATGGGTTTAGACCCTAACATATTTAGAAGTTTATTGTTTTAAACAAAATGTTTTATCATAAAAACAGAAAACAGGCAAAAGTGACAATTACAAGTTGAGTCTGTTTTAAAAGTCCCACCTCTTTAATAAGAAAGCAAAACCAAGGAATAGAAATCTACACAAAGCTGTCAGTTCAGAAATGGTAATAGACAGTGTAAGTATAGTATTATATAATAAAATAGATATATAATATATTTATTTATAAATATAAAATATAGATTTATAAATATATAATAAAACAGAGCATGAAACGAACTGACTACCACAACTAATTAAGTTGTTCTTCATTATTTCTTAGCAATTAATATAGTAAAAATTACCACAGGCTGCATACATTTGTTTACCTACTGAAGCTTTCTCATTTGTGGCATGAACTTGGCTTTGTGTTCAGTATAGCGGCTAAAATATACTATAAAAACACATCGCTAGATAAAGATTTTATAAAAATTGCCTCATGAAGTCACTTCCAAGTCCTCGCTGCTGTCTAGTTGAGCTAAAATCCTGTCTGCCTGCTTTGTCTCCATATCTAATAAACTGAATACTTTGGAATTATGCAAGTCTCATCTTCATATGGGAATTTATCATAAAATAGGATGTATAAGTATGTGAAACTTTCTGTTACAAATCAAAAACTGGAATATTTTCATTAAAAAACAAAATAACTAGCTGGCTAAAATAATCTGCGTTGAATATCGCTGCATTTTCTGTCCTGAGAGAATTTTGCTTGCACTGCTAAATGTTTTCTAACTGATTTTGTGTCATCAGGTGTTCACTGGCATCTTCACAGCTGAAATGGTGTTTAAGCTCATTGCCTTGGACCCATACTACTACTTCCAAGTGGGCTGGAACATCTTCGACAGCATCATCGTCACTCTCAGTCTAGTGGAGTTGGGGCTGGCTAATGTGCAGGGTCTGTCTGTCCTCAGGTCCTTCCGTTTGGTAAGCCTGAACCAGAACCCTGTTATATCAGAAAAATGCTTAATGTCTTTAACCAACACGATATACATAATGTTTAGAAAACAGAAATTAAATTTTTATTTCCGTCTGCTCTGTTTCTACCTTTTGTTGGTTATTGATGTGTGTATATTATGCACATGTATCCGTATTAGTGTTATTTTTTGCTCTGTTTTTGTGTCCCCTGCTGGTTGTGCTGGAGATAGCTGCGTGTCTTCAAGCTGGCCAAATCCTGGCCCACACTCAACATGCTGATCAAGATCATCGGCAACTCAGTCGGAGCTCTTGGGAACCTGACCCTGGTGCTGGCGATCATCGTCTTCATCTTTGCCGTGGTGGGCATGCAGCTGTTCGGCAAGAGCTACAAGGACTGTGTGTGTAAGATCGCACAGGACTGTGAGCTGCCCCGCTGGCACATGAACGACTTCTTTCACTCCTTCCTCATCGTCTTCCGCATCCTGTGTGGAGAGTGGATCGAGACCATGTGGGACTGCATGGAGGTGGCCGGTGCGGGGATGTGCCTGGTGGTCTTTCTGATGGTCATGGTCATAGGAAACCTGGTGGTGAGTGCACTGGCAATGGTAAATAGCTTTAAGGTGTGGAGGGGAAAAAATGGAGCATTAAAGGCAGGTATTAGTAGTAATACATCACTGCTTAATTAACATTACCGACGCTTTCAGTAAATATCACGATATGATGTATTAATGTATATATTTTTCATATGCATTTGACATATTATTCTGGATGTCCCTTCACTTTTAAGAAGAATCACTAAATAAGAATCATACTAAATCTAGATACATACTAATTCTGAAGTGAAGCTAAAATATTTTTATTGGGCTAAATAGTAAAAACAGAAATTAACAAAATACAGACAGGCTATTCTCAATGCTAGGCTAACAGCTAACTCCAAGAGACTGGCTTTTCCTTCCACTCTCTTTACCTGTCCATTAACTCATCAACTCATTACAATCTGATGTCTGCTTCTTTGACAATAAACTGGACTAGCTTACCTAGGCTGCGGCTTGCTACCTGTGAAGGTGAGGAAATCAGCATTTGTGTCATATTATCTGCATTTATTTGCATATCGGTATAACAGTAATGACAAAACTAATACTTTAAAAAGAAGTTCAACCGGTGTATCACCCACTACTAGGCATTAGAGCAAATGTGCCAAATACCCCTATGTGGAAACAGCAGTTCCAGCTTTTTATATGATTGCACACTGTAGTAATGTCATAACTGAGGACTTGTCTTCTCTTACATCTTTAGGTGCGAGTGTTAAGATGTGTAAGGATAGCAACAAAGCCCTAGAAACTCAAATGCATGTCCTCTCCTGTGAAGCTGTAAATCTGTTTAACTGCTTTGAAAGTCCACCAGATCTGTAAAAGGATGTAGAGCAATGTACAGTCTAACCAGCCGTCCAACCCGTGGGAACAGCTGACTAGCGTACTGTTGTTGCTGTTCAAGTGACATGCGCCCTCTCCTCGGTGTGGTAAAATTCCTATCATCAATAGCCCACACATCTATCACAATGCTTTTCTATGACTTTCACAATTGACTCTTTGGATTCTACAAGAGTAAAGCAGTGTTCACACTGGTGGCAACAAAGACCCCAAACGTACATTTTAAACTGATAGTTTTATGATTCAAGAGAAGGGCAGCAAACAATGGATCCATTAAAAATGAATAGCATGCACAAAAACTTCTCAAGTGATCACAACATGATCTCTACTCTTCCCACAAAGACATTCTTTTTAACAACTGGTGGACAGACTTTGGACGAAGTTGGACAAGCCTAACAGAACACTAGCAAAAATCCTATTCAGCCTACGGAGAAATTTTAGCACAGTTTTTGTCAAACATTTTCTGAATTGTTCATTTCAATATTTGCTGTGTATGCAAGTGTGAGGTCTATTCACTGTACTGAGCACTTTACATATTCACACAAATGTGTCATCATGGTTGACTGATTGCCATTGTCACTCTGTTAGACTTGTAACAGTCCTTGGTTTTCACTGGTTAATCTGAATTCTTCTGTCTTATGACCAAGTCTCTTCTCTTCTTTATTTAATAGTTGCTATTTTATATTTATTGTCAGTTCTTCATTTGTTATTCATATTGCTCTTATGTTATTCTTTTGCTATCCGGTGTCAACCAGAGGATGGGTTCCCCTTTTGAGTCTTGGTTCCTCTCAAAGTTTCTTCCTCTTGCTCTTAGGGAGTTTTTTTCTTGCCACTGTCACCCTTGACCTGCTCACTGGGGACCTGGTCTCAGATTTCTGTAAAGCTGTGACAGCACTCATTGTAAAAAGTGCTGTACAGATGAATTTTAGTTTAATTTAATTTGATTGAAAGGTCACTTGTAGTTTTTAATTGTGATAATGGCAAATTTGTTTCCAGCCTGTCTGGCTTTGATGAGCTTGGATAGGTCATCTGCTCCCGGATGTGTTTGGTAGATTCCTAAGAGATTTGACCTTAGAGCACATTTGACCACAGACAGGGAGAGAGAGAACGTGTTCATGCTGAGTGGTGAGTTGGTGAGACGGAAGCAACCCTGCTGACTTCACGTGTAATGTTACAGAACAAGTACATACAGATGAGTTGTTAGCAGCTGAGCGCATTGCGGCCTTGACCAAAAGCATTTCCTGTCGGGATATACATAGAGAGGAAAGGAAATGGCCTATCTTAGCGAGCTAACAAAAGCATTGCCCACCAGTGCGAGCCAGCACATACACACGCCTCATCTGGCCCCCCCCATCTCCACTTCTTCAGGAGAAACAGCACAGTGGGCCTAAGCACTGTTTCTACAGCGCCGACTTCTATTTAAGTTGTATGACTTGAGCCAGCAAACAGTGGTTCTGACCTTGGCTAAGCGTTAAGCCCCAGCTCAAGTGAGCGTCTTGGCACGCAGGGAACAAACATAGACAGCTGAGAAGCACAGCAGCAGAGGCTGCAGATCCAATGTGTGGCGGCTCCTCACTCCGCGCAGCATGGCACATCAGCAAAATCCTCTAATTGACAGGCAGCAGAACGCTCAGGCGGAGTCCAGATACCGACGCAGGGTGGAAGGTGTGGTGGATTGGTCATTGAAATGGCATGGGTCACAAACAGCATATCATTCCTTTCTCTCTCTTCTACACTGATTAGGGAGGTTGGATAATATCATGTGGACTCAAATGTCAGTGGCTCCATTTGTCTTGTCATTTTGACATGCTGTGTGAATGTAGTGCATCTGGTGTAGCTTTAAAATATTTCAGAAGCAGCTCTTGTTAGCAGAGTTAACCTGCTGTGTGTTGTCCACCACCATCCCACTTTAGTTTTATCACCTTTGTATAGGTAATATGGATTATTACAGTGATTTAAAGGGGGATTTAATCGATTTTTCAATGTTGCTACATGATTAATTTAGTATTTGACATGGTTTAGGCCAAAACCTTACGGAAGAACCATCATAAAAGAACACCTCAGACATCAAGCAGAGCATTCATAATCAATTTCATGTAGTAGCTTTCTGTGAGGGAGCTTTTAGAGGTGGACGTCTGGTTCCTGTCACCACCATTGTGAACAATTCTGACTCTGTAAGTTTCTCTAGAATAGAGCATTTCACACCAAGCCACTTTGAATGACTTTGTTTACATCTTAACCATTTTATTATCAAATTTTGAAAAAAAAACCCTTACAGACTAAGGCTTATTATTAGTCAACTAATAGGACTTCAGTGCACACTAATGGAGCTTTTCTTAGGTTATAGAAGTTTGTAATAAAACTTGGGGCCTGCCGGTGGGCCCATGGCTTGGTAAGGGGTTAAGTATCCATTAAGTATCGATATTCATTTAAGGTAAAACCACTTTCTCGTGACTGTAGTTTATGTAATTCTGAGCTAAATCCAAAAAGCTTAAAGTAAATATAATTAATTAGCTTCAGTTAGCAACACGTTCCAAATTAATTATTAGTTAAGCAGTATATTTCAAAGATTGATGTTGTCTCAACTTTTGACAGTTTAATAGCTTAGGAGTTTCTTTACTAAAGCATCTAACGTTACAGAAACATTTTGCTGGTGTATATTGAGAAAGGGAGCCAGTGCTTGGTTAAGGTTGAGTGCTAAATCTGTGTTGAAATTAGTTCCTGCCTGATAAATCTGGTTCAGTTTCAACTTTCACTTATTGTTAGCATCATGAAGCTCAGCTGCAGAAGTGCAGGACTGAAGTATGAGCACAAACTCACATACTTAAGGTAGGGTGGAAGTCATGGCTGAACTTCTCTTTTAAATTATTTTGAATTGCGTCAGTATTGCAGCTTGGCATCGTTGAGTTTGAGTTAAAGGTGGAACGATTCTGGAGAACGGTAACAGTAAAACAAATGCAACCCTCCCTTCAGTGCTCTATTAGAAGCTCCGTCCCCCAAATTAATGGACGCGCATTGCCAAGGCGAATGATACTGGGCTAGCTAACTTGTTTTTTCAGGGCCATATAACCCTTTGCAAACATTGACCTTCCAGTGACATTAGCTGTTAAATTAATTCAGTAATTAATAATTGTATTCAGTTGTTACACAATCTTTGACTAAATTTGGATTGAGGTCCAAATTTGAATAATTCTGATATAAATTGTGTAAACTATAATTCAGTTTTTTTTAAGTATCTATACAGAGGCTTTTAATTTAAAACTAATATTTACTCAGCAGAAACTTATTAGAGAGATGATAATGCTGTTTGAGCTCTTCAGAAGTGAAGCTTTGTTTAATCTCTTGTGGGCTTTTCTGGGAGGGAGCTGTAGAGGTGAGCCATACTGTTTTTTACTTTGGGTTGGAACTTTATAGTTTCTCTTTATTCTCTTTCATATTCTGTCCTTGTTTTTCCATCATCTTTTGTATCTGTCAGCTCTTTTTCCTCATGCCTCACAAACATAGAGGCCCTATAGCTGCCTCCCCCAGACTGCTGTAACCATGATCTATATCTTAAGCAAGGAAATAGGAACCCAGAAGTGGGCTAACTGGCTTTAGACACTAAAGATAGCCACTCTCCAACAGACCTGCAGACAACATCATATTTATTGACTCCTTGTCATTACAGACACGACATAAACCTAATACCTGTTATGTATACCAGTCACACCATTAATGATTGAAAAAGATTAGCTTTCATTGCTGTGGGGCCAGTGAGGTCTGTCCAGTTCGTGAAACATTGCTGAAGTGTGGTTGAGGCATTGCAGTGAGTAAAAAACTTTATCCTCATTAACCAAGAAGAGAAATCTAGATTTGAACTATACTGAAGGATAAGTTCACACAACTTAATATAACAAAAACATTGCCCTAAAAAAATTGGTGAGCAAACCAGCTATGTGCTTTAGTTCAGTCTACCTAAAGATACTAAATACAGCATGTAAGAATAACTAAAAGTGTTTGTGTTAGATTAACGTAAATGCATGTTTGTGCAACTCATAAATCCTAATTTTTTTAATTTAACTTTTTGAGTTGGTCAAACCTAAAATCCCAATTTTATTATATATTTAAATAGGTATTTACATAACTTTTTTTGATAAAGTAATATTGACTACTTTGCCAAACGCTGATGGGTTAACCTTTAGTGTGAATGAGATCTCACACCAGCACATGCCCACACTCAGCACCTTCAGTCAACAACACAAGGCCAGGTGGCCAATCAAAATATATACACTATAAAAAAATTGTCAGTTCAAGGTAAAAAATGAATTAGTTTTGTTCAACTCAAAAAGTTTTTTAGGTTGAACTGATGAACGATTGTTTACGGTGTATGAAAGTGTAAAAAAATTTTCATGTGGTTACAAGAAAATTAACCAGTTTTATTGAACCTAAATAAATACTTTGAATGAACGATTCTTCAGATCACGTATCAGGCTCCAGTCTTCGTGGGCCAAAACATTGCAGACTTCAGCACACTGATTCACCTGATTCAGCTCATCAGCTAATTAGCAAGGGAAAACACGGAGCAGTCTGAGTTGAATAAAAGTATTCCAGTTGCTTGTTACCACAAGTGATTTTTAAGACAAGCCATTTTTATAGTGTAAAACAAAACACACAGTATGTAAATAGTTGAAGCCAGGAGCTAATGGAAAAAAAATGTTACCCAACAAGATCATGTAACAAAACACACTGTATTTCACTTAAGCACCACACACTGAAAAAAATGGCTAATCAGATCAACCTGTTTTAACAAGCAGTTGAACTACTTTTATACAAATTAAAAAGAAATTCATTGATAAAAAGAATCATTAATTTAAACTGTTTATTTAGGTTGAATAAAACTAGTAAATTTACTTGTTAATGAGGTCATTTTTTAGGTTGAATTGATGAGCCAGTTTTTACAGTGCAGCATACTGAGTTTTACACATTTGATGAGTAACATTAATGAGCGAGAATCGATTAAAACCAACAGCAGTGCAGTTTCATTTTTTGCAGTTGGTGGTTTCAAAAGTGCAAATTAAATTGCAGCAAGTTAATTCAATTCAAAAATGCCTTTTGAATATACAAAATCATCAAAGGTTTTCCTTAACTTGAAAATAGTTGAGTAATGTTTGGGTAACATTCAGTTTTATGTGTGACAGACTTAATTTAGTTGAGTTAAAACAAAATATGGGAGCTTGAGCTTTTACTTTTGAGTAAACTTTGCTTTTTTTGTATTATTCTCCCTCTTTCAGGTGCTGAACCTGTTCCTTGCTTTGCTGCTCAGCTCGTTCAGTGGGGACAATCTCGCAGCAGGTGACGACGACGGTGAGATGAACAATCTTCAGATCGCCATCGGCCGCATCACTAGGGGCATAGACTGGGTCAAGGCCTTCGTTCTTGGCCTTGTCCACCGAATCCTGGGCAGAAAACCTGCTGACGATGACGGGGGAGGAGGACAAGGAGGTGATGGGGACAAAAAGGATGCTCTTGCCTTAAACCACCTTGATGGAGGGAAGATGGCAGACGGTTTGACCAACTGTCTGGAGTCTCCAACGCTGAACGTGCCCATTGCCAAGGGGGAGTCTGATGTTGAAGATGATGAAGAGTCAGAGGATTCGTCAGATGAGGGGAACAAGAGTGAAAAGAAGGTGTTCAGCTATACTGGTTCTCTCTGTTTCCTTTGCTTTGCAATACCTTTGCAGCATTGTATTAGTGTCTCACACGGTCTCTCTCTCTTGTTGGGTCAGGGTGTTCTCAATGATGAAGACTCTTCAGTGTGCAGCACAGTGGACTACAGGCCTCCAGAGCCCCCACCTGAGGAAGAAGAGGAAGAGGAGCCAGAGCCTGATGATCCAGAGGCCTGTTTTACTGAAAGTGAGTGTCTTATCCAAGCATGCCAGTCCAACACTATGACATGCAGAAATCCAGGGAACATCACAGTTTGTCTACAAAAAGTTCTCCAAAGACTTTGTTGATCATTTCTTGCCTCCCTGTCCTTCATGGTAGACTGCATAAGGCGATGTCCATGTCTAAATGTGGACATCACGCAGGGAAGAGGAAAGAGTTGGTGGAATCTGCGCAGAGCCTGCTACACCATTGTGGAGCACGACTACTTTGAGACCTTCATCATCTTCATGATTCTCCTCAGCAGTGGAGCACTGGTGTGTCCTCTTTCAGAACTAAAGAAATCAGCCCATACATAATGAACTTCTCCAGCCCTGTGCAGTGATATTTGCTACATACCTTCTAAAAGAAGCAGCACTTTTTTCTTTAGAAGCACCATTTAGGATTTTTTTTACAGTTTTTTTGTACCTGAATAACCGTTGTTGTTTCCTCAGGCCTTTGAGGACATTTATATTGAGCGCCGAAGGGTGATCAAGATCATCTTGGAGTATGCCGACAAAGTCTTCACATATGTTTTCATAGTAGAGATGTTGCTGAAGTGGGTTGCATATGGCTTTAAGACTTACTTCACCAATGCCTGGTGTTGGCTGGACTTTCTTATTGTTGATGTGAGTTCATCATTCCTTTTTAACACAGTAGTCTGTGCTTCTCAGTGGTCCTCTTGTTTACATTTATTTGTTTTATTATTAGTTATTTATTATTTATTATTATTATGTCTTTTCTATGTTCTTTTTCAGGTTTCACTCATCAGTTTAACAGCCAATCTGTTGGGCTATTCTGAGCTGGGACCAATCAAATCACTCAGAACTCTCAGGGCTCTTCGACCTCTACGTGCCCTGTCCAGATTTGAGGGAATGAGGGTGAGAACCTCTCAGTGTATTATACTAACACTAATAGTACTACTACTAATAATAATACATTCCATACCAGATAAAGTTCAGTAACAGTAATGTTCTCACATTCACACAAATGTTTTTTTTTAAAGTATGTACTGAGTTTGACTGCTTCATAAAAGCTGTAGTAGGCCTCGTTCACACTGCCAGCCCAAATCCAATTTTTGGCATATCCAGATTGTATGCAGATTGGTTTTTGATAGTCTGGACAGCAAAAAACTGAGGGTGGTTTGAAATGCGATTCCAATTGGATTTACAGATGCTCTCAGTCTGGACACTCTGGCGGCTTTCAGAGTGTCTTTTGCTTTATTCACAATGTCAATGTCAAATCTAGAGTGACGGAAGCAATTGTTTGGAGGGTGAGATGCATCTCCATCTCTCCGGCATCTGTGTTGGAAATCCACATCACCATAGCTGTGTAGTTACTGATGCCTACGTCTTTACCACAGCAACCCATAGAGATAGGCTGGTGATGTCTGTCACTGTTATCTCAAATGATCTGATTTGAGAAACAAATCCAATATATCTGCAGTCTGAACTTAGAGTTCCACAGTTCAGAAGCATAAAAGTAAAAGAGGCCTCTCCATGTTTTCTGTATTTTATGGAAGTGTTTGCAAAAGGCCAGTATCTGCAGAGTGGAAATCAAGGATTAGAAATGTACAATTTGTACATCTGTTTGGCTGACTGTACCACGCTCAGTGTTTGTTGTTCCCTTTCATACAGGTGGTAGTGAACGCGTTGGTGGGTGCCATTCCTTCCATCATGAACGTGCTGCTTGTGTGTCTAATCTTCTGGCTCATCTTCAGCATCATGGGGGTCAATCTGTTTGCTGGAAAGTTCTACCGCTGCATTAACACCACCACAAATGAGCTTTTCCCCATCGAGGAAGTGAACAACAAGAGCGACTGCATGGAATTAATGTACACTAATGAGGTGCGCTGGGTCAATGTCAAGGTCAACTACGACAATGTGGGACTGGGCTACCTCTCCCTGCTGCAAGTAGTGAGTTTTCCCATGTTTTGTTCAAGTCTATTGAAATACAGTAATTACATAGTATGTATTTTAGAATGGAAACTAAATACAGCTTTCAGATTATTTCAGAAGTGTTTGTCTTATAAATGTTATGCAATCATTGTTTTAATCTGCCCCTAGAAAAATATTGTTAAAAAGTATACAAATTGCAAGGTATAAATGTCATGTCTTGTCTTTTTTGTTTGCTTCAGAGGATATAAGGTAATGCTGCACATTGACCTCATTAGTGTATAGCTTTTTGGTAGGCCAACACTCATAGATGCTATTCTGATCATAGGCTACATTCAAAGGCTGGATGGACATCATGTATGCTGCAGTGGATTCCAGAGAGGTACTCTTTTGTCCTTTGAGTGCATTTCAGAATTTGTTTATGAATTAGAAACATACCACAGCATGACTATTTTATGAGACTTGGGGTTTCTGTTTCTTGCAGGTAGAGGAGCAGCCATCATATGAGATTAACCTCTACATGTACCTGTACTTTGTCATCTTCATCATATTTGGCTCCTTCTTCACTCTCAACCTCTTCATTGGTGTCATCATTGACAACTTCAATCAGCAAAAACAAAAGATGAGCATCACTTCTTTCTAAATTAAAGGCCCAGGGAACATAAAATATTACAATGTTTGTATGATACTAAACTTGAGAGTTATATTAAACATTCATCAAAGCTTGAATGAAAAATATATAAAACATGGCTTAAAAACCACTGATCAGACCTGAGAACTGTGTGGGTGTGGCTAATGAGCAGCTTGATTGACAACTCTCTGTCCAACACTCCTAGCCTGCTCCACCCCCATACAAAACTAAAATTATTATCCAGCTTTTATGTGACAGTAACTGGATGTAAAAAGTTACAGACGTGCAGACAGACGGACAGACGAGCGAACAAACAAATGGACAAACAAAGCAACACGCAAAGTAATGCACGAACAGATGTGCATATGGATGGATGGATGAAGCAGCATGTGAATGAAGGAGCGGACGAACAAACAATGTTGGTGTATGGATAAACAAATGAACGGACAACAGGCAGCTACAGACAGGTGGTCTAGCTCGCTAGCTTTTGGTTATGCTGGGTTAGCTTTAGTTCGCTAAGTTTCTCTGACTCTGAAACTGTTTTGTGTGGGCAGGACAAGAGACTTCAGCCTTGTGATTGGTCAGGGAGATGCTTACAGAAGCCAAGAACCCAAGATTAGGACTGCCCACTTTAATGGAAAGAAGAAAAATATGATGAAATGTATCAGTCATTTATTCGGTTTACTCTTTGGCAAGAACAAGATTAAACTAATTAGATAGAAAACACAGATTTATGTTCCCGGGGTCTTTAATATCCTTTTTGTTTTGCTTTTTGTCTAAAAAGGACTGACTGACTTTTAACACAAAGAATAATTGTTTATTTATCATTTGTTCTGCACTTTGGAGGAGAAGATCTCTTCATGACAGAGGAACAGAAAAAGTATTACAATGCCATGAAGAAGCTGGGTTCCAAGAAGCCCGTCAAACCCATACCGCGCCCTTCTGTAAGTAGAAACCAGTACATTGTACTTTCTTCTGTTCTCATTTGATCTCCATTCTCTTCTCTGACTTAAGCAGTAACAGAACAATTTTATTGACAGCACTGTGTTTAAGTACATCTCTTTTGTGATGGCTCCATGATGGTGTTTTTCTTTCAGAATATGATCCAGGGCATGGTGTTTGATCTCATCACCCAACAGTTCTTTGATATCTTCATTATGATACTCATTTGCCTCAACATGGTGACCATGATGGTGGAGACAGATGACCAGAGTAAAGAGAAAGAGGATGTCCTTTACCAGATCAATCTAATTTTCATTGTTGTATTCACTGGGGAGTGTGTGCTCAAGATGTTTGCGCTCAGACAATACTTCTTCACTGTCGGATGGAATGTCTTTGATTTCATTGTTGTCATCCTTTCTATAGCTGGTAAGTTCCGAGGAGTTGGCATTTTGACAAAAGTTCAGAGTGAGACAGTGTAGAGCTTGAATGAACTATACTCAATGGCCCAATCCTATTTCACCCCTCACTACAGACTGGCAGTGTTTTATTTGAGGGTTGCCCCATTTCCTAGTGGAAGATTTTAACCACTACCACTTGTAACTCAGTTCCAAGGGGCAAGGTGACACTGAAAAACAAGGGGTAGGGGTAAAAATAAGAAATGGGACTGGGCCAGTGTGTTGGACTGCTCTCAGTTCATATGCTTATATTACAGTGCTGTTCCATTTGTTGCTGATACACTTAGGCTGCATTCTCATATTGGTTTTATCTCTTCTCACCCAAGGTCTCATGCTGTCGGACATAATCGAGAAGTACTTTGTGTCCCCCACTCTGTTCCGTGTCATCCGCTTGGCTAGGATCGGTCGTGTGCTCCGTCTCATCAGAGGGGCGAAAGGCATTAGGACGCTTTTATTTGCCCTGATGATGTCACTTCCCGCCCTTTTCAATATCGGCCTACTCCTTTTCCTGATCATGTTCATCTTCTCCATTTTTGGAATGTCTAATTTTGCCTATGTGAAAAAGGAAGCTGGCATTGATGACAATTTTAACTTTGAGACCTTTGGAAATAGCATCATCTGCCTGTTTGAGATCACTACTTCAGCTGGTTGGGACGGGCTTCTGCTCCCCATGCTCAACAGCGGTCCTCCTGACTGTGACCCCAACGTCGAAAACCCTGGATCAGATGTGAGGGGAAACTGTGGGAATCCAGGCATGGGTATCATGTTCTTCTGCAGTTACATCATCATGTCCTTCTTAGTGGTGGTGAACATGTACATTGCCATCATCCTGGAGAACTTCAACGTGGCCCAAGAGGAGAGTAGCGACCCGCTGTGTGAGGAAGACTTTGAGATGTTTGACGAGACTTGGGAAAAGTTTGATGTCGAAGGCACGCAATTTCTGGACTACGACCGCGTGTTCGACTTTGTCGATGCGCTGCAGGAACCTTTGCGTATTCCCAAACCCAACAAACTCAGACTGGTCAACATGGATCTGCCTGTTGTAACGGGAAACAAAATCCACTGCCTGGACATTCTGCTGGCGGTCACTCAACAGGTCCTGGGTGACACCACTGAGATGGCAGCCATGAGGGTGAGCATCGAGGCCAAGTTCAAGATGAACAACCCCAGTCCCGCCTCCTTTGAGCCCATCACCACCACTTTGAAGAGGAAGGAGGAAGAGCGGGCAGCCACAGTGATACAGAGATCGTACCGCAAACATCTTCTCAAACGCTCCATACGCCATGCCAGCTTCATGCGCCGCTCCAGGAGGAAGAAGGTGAGGCGGCAGGAGGACGAGGAACCGCCAGAAACGGAGGGCCTAATAGCGCGCAAGATGAACGCCCTTTACGGCAGCAACCCAGAGTTGGCTATGGTCCTGGAGCTTCAGGCCAGGCCTATGCGATCCAACCCCACCTCATCAGGGCTTGCGGTGCCAGTGATCTACCGCCGGCCACAAGGCCGAATGATGGTGGTCCCGGTAGAGGTCACAAATGAGGTAGTTCTCCGTTCTGCTCCCACAGCTACACGGGACCTCTCAAGCTCAGAGGTGGCAGCACTGAGGGAATCAATAGTATAGTGGGCAGACACTGCTCAGTTGTCAGTTCCATTTAAGAGGAAAGTAAAGAAGTGTTCAAATGGAGCATCACCTGCACAAACATAACAACCCTGATGCTCCAAAAAGCACTGTGTTTGATGGGATTGCACATTACTGTTAAGGAGTTGCTGAGGTTTAAAAACAATGAAACAGTGTTCTTTGGTGTCTGGGATTGACGTTTTATCACTTTTTCAACATCTGTTTTTGGAGCAGATTGGTCTTCTCATTTGTTGCCCTATTCCTTGCTCAAAACTCAAACTGTTTTCCTTTGGCAGTCTTTGGATTCACCAGACCAGTGCTTTCCTTTATCCCTCTGTTAAGATTCACAGGATTTTTTGTACGTCTAGGATCATCTTCCAAAGACACACTTTTTTCGATACTAACGAAAGTTTATCATTATTTTTGCCCAAATTCCCTACCAAAGTTTTCTTCTTCACTTTTAAGCTGCTGTAACTAGTCTCTTCAATTTGTCTTGAGGCCTCACTTTCCTTTGCACTATTTATAAATCCCCAGTTTGTGGCCTGCCAGTTTACAGCAGGGAGATGAGTCAAGCAGACACTGATCAATTTCACGGGAGGCACGGAGTCACATTGGGCAGTATGTGCAACTACGTAAGGCATACATAAACAGTACATTACGCCTACCTAGAGCGTTTAATAGGAGAGGTATGGCCTTATTAGTGCTGTTTTAGTTCACAGTTGGTAGTAGTACTCGTCTTTCATTGCATGTAGTCATACTTTTTATGTATGCTTCATGAAGTTGCACTTCATGTGCACTGTGACCAAATTTATGTCAAATGTCCAGGTTATCTATGTACTTACAGAGGTTTATAGCAACACAATAAATGTAAATACATTGCCAATCATGCTTGCTAGACTTTTGCCTACAAACTAAATTTATAACAAAATTAAAGCACCCTTAATGTGAAGTTATCATGAAAAATGTTTCATCAAGCCTATTGTTTGCCCAATATTATATCAGGTATCTATCACATATAATAAATAAATAATAAATAATCACTGCAATAAGATGGGTTAGGGTAATCTCAGTATCTTTTTCTTAAACCGCCTCAAATTATCTTATATTATTTGTGGACTGAGACTGTGATGTTATTTTGCAATGTTTACAGTTTTCAAAACTGTGTACAGTTTTCATCTGTAGTGCATTCTTTATATAAAAGTGATGTTATAATATTCTGTTTAATTCACTGCCTGCTGCCCACGTTATAAATCATAAAGGAGCAGATAGCTTGCACGTGAATTTGAATGTTGTAGACATGGCTGAAAGGTTTAACTTATTGACACTGTCAAATAGTATTTTCCGTAATGCTGTATTTGAAGGCCGCCTACATGGGGACTTCATAACACATGCATACAGTTTAAATAACATATAAAGCAACACTTGAATATTTATAAACAGCTTATGCTGGAGATCACAAGATGACAAACATTTTCATGAAGTGAATGATAATGCATTGACCTAAAGGGCCTTAATTAAAGTGTTAGGAGTGTTATAAGTGTTATAACACTGTTATGAAGGATCATTTCCAAATAATGGAACTTATAAGGTAAAGGCCTAGGTAAGAATGCTGTGTATCAGTTCTCTGTATTTCTACTTGAGTTTAAGTACAAAAATACAGTTAAGGAGACCTTTTCAAAATAACTAAAAAAAAAAAACTCAAAATAACTGTAATAACTCACAGTTTGTTTACTTTTGATGCTCTAGTACTTTTCAAAGGAAGTCATTTTCTACTTTTGTACTTTTGGTAGAAATACAGACAGGAATCTTTTACTGGAGTAATATTGTATTTTATATTTAAGAGTATTTCTGTTTTTACTCAAGGACACGATTTTCATACATTTGAGGAAAGATGTATGAAAATTATTACTTCCATAGACCTGATATGTGGTGTTCTGTAATATATCTTTTGTTAAAACTGAAAGTAGTGTTACTGAGGTGAGTCAAAAACAAGGTTTACCTTCACGTTTAGGTCTCAAATGATCCCATAATCAACATTATACTGTTAAAGATATGATGAAAACAGTAATTAATTCACTCACACCCTTAGAAGACACCTCCTTCTCCAAGTTCTTCACCGAGTTCTCTTTGAATTCTCTTTCGATCATCCGCTCAGGGAAGGGGTCTGAAGCACACCCACATTACAAAGTGTTCATGCACACATTGTGTGCAGTTACACATTTCCACCAGAGGGGTCTCCAAAATCCCTAAAATATACATAGTGCAGCTTTGACTAGCCCTCTGCTTTATAAGTTCCATTAATTGAGAATGATTCTTCGTAACAGTGTTATAAATGCAACACATGTCTGTCACTGTAGTTTAAGGCCTCTTTTATTAATACGTCATTTACTTCATAAAACATCTTGTAATAACTGGTAGAAGCTATTTATTGATATTCTAGTATTGCTTTGTATATCATATTCAGTGCTTATACATGCATTATGAAGTGCCTACGTAGGTGGCCTTTAAATACAGTGTTACTGCATTTTCATATATTTTGTTTTATGTTCCTTTTGTAATGCATTGGTTTGAGTTCTTTGAGATCTTAAGTCTTAACGTAATGAAACGTCTTACTCCTCTGAAAATGTGTAAATTAATAAATGAAGCACTTTCGAGAGTTTTCTTTATCTGCTGTAGACTATTTGTGTTTTTAGAATTTGTCTTTCCTTGCAAAAAAATCTTGTGGGATTCAAATCTGTCTCAAGGCAAGAAACATCAACGCATTTGTGTAGATTGTATTTTTACTGCATGTAGCTTTTGATTACTTGTTACATGTTATGCTCTGAAAAATAAGAGAGGCTTCAGTGCTTTAGGCTTTCTAACTGCTTTGCCTGTATATACATTCTGCTCATTTTAGAAGCATTTTTTTTTTCAGAACTCTTCCTTCTTTATATCATCAAGATGTTCATCTAACACAATGTTGATAGAATAAATTTGATAACACGGTACAGTGAGTGACTTCTCTGTATGCCTTTACAAGTTGGCTTAACTTACATTGACTCGGTCATTCTTCTGTTCTGTTTTCACAGTATGTGTTTACAGTAAGTTATGAAGCATGTTTCAACATCCTATCAAATGGCACTTCTTTCGAAGAGGATGTACATTCTCAGAAACCCCTAATCAAGCACTGTTTCCATAAGGTTAACCCCCCCGTCTGGCTGTTCCTCCTCCTCTTACTACACTTTCTATTTTTACTCCCAGCAGTGAGGTGGATTAACAAGTGTCAATAACACAGGAATTTTACACCTATACATATTTTAGCTTGCAGAATTTCTGCTGTGTGTATTATTTCTTAAATTTAAAAAACAATGTAATGCTTGCAGTCTAATGTATATCATTTTGTTGGGGTAGGTGTGTATTCAGCACTCAGTACTCAGTGTAAGGTGATATCTACGGCACTATGCTGATCATTTTAAGGTGGTAAGCTGTTTGGTATGCTAATTGTTAAACCAGAGTTCTTTATAAAATGCGTTTACAGCAGTGAATTCACTGCTGTTTGGTCTGGTGATGTCATATGTCGCTGTCTTTTCTGGTTTATGAGTCTGAATGTAGATTACAGACAGCAGAGCATGCAGCGAGGTGAAAGTCATGGACTGGTTCCCGTGGCATCTGAGAGGATCAGATAGTGGGACCGTGACGTGTGTGGTGCTTATAGTCATCTGGAGATGTCTTCAGAGCACCGAGACCTCCCCCCGCCCCCACCTACGGCCAGTGTAAAAGGTCAAAGTTCAGAAGTGGGCAGTGGACTACATCCTGTCTGCCAGATGATTCTAGCACTATGGAAATATGGCGAAGCTCTCAATGTTTACAGCTGGAGAGTGCACCACAGAGGTGGGGTTGAATCTTTTCACCTGACTGGCTGTCTTCATCTCCACAGTGCCAGTTATACCAAATTCAGTATCATTATTGAGAAAAAATGACATCTAATATATATATCAAGACTGCATAAGTATAAAGAGGGTTATTGTTCTATTGGACAGGGCTGCCCAAAGTATGGCCCACTTGCCAAAGCTGGCCTGTTAGGACATTGATTTGGCTGGCTAGAAACTTAGTCTTACCTCACCCCCTCACCCAATGACAGAACACACATTTTATACTATATGACTGTAACTTCACTATAAATTGTTGTTTTCCTTTTTTCAATTTGTACTGTTTTTACATCACTTTTTACAAAGATGGTTCTTCAAGGGTTCTTTAGAAAAGGGAAAGCTCTATATAGAACCATCCCATGCGTAAACAGTTCTTTGCATAGTAAAATTGTTCCTCAGATCGATGGAGAAGGTGTTGTAAATGGTTCTATACACTCTAAAAAAGGATGGTTCTTCAAGGGATCTTGAGTCAAGAAAATGAACACTCAAAAAACTCTTCACACGCTTAAATAGTTCTTTGCATGGTGAAATGGTTCTTCAAATTGATGGAGAATGTGTTGTGTGTGGTTCTTTTTAAAAGTGGTTCTTTATAGCATCTGCTATTGTTATGATGTCAAGCTTGTAACAGTGAAAGAACCCTTTTGGTGCTATGGTGTAGAACCATATACAGTTCTCCATCAATCTGAAAAAAACATTTCACCATGCAAGGAACCATTTAAGCATGGAATGGTTCTATATAGAACTCATGGTTCTAAATAGAACCATTCCCTTTACTAAAGAACCCTTGAAGAACCATCTGTTTTAAGAGTGTATTTTACAAATAAACTATAGTGTAATATAATAAAACCTACACCTGCCTTCTTTATTTGTAAATTTGTTTTTTCCTTTTTGGCCCTCGGACCACCACAAACAGTGCACTCTGAAGCCCTAAAAAAGTTTAGGCACCCCTGATATGAGATCATTTTGGATTTTTTTGGTCATTCACTCTATGAAAAGGGCAGCAGTGGTCAGGAGCACATCAGAGAGTTTATTTTCTTGTAGGTTCCTTTCAGTTAAGATCTAAATAACCATAAAATCTCGGTATTATGTGTACTAATTGTGAAGGAGAATTTTACTGATTTTTAAACATTTCTACATAATTAAATGGTTAAAATGTAAACAAACTCATTCATTGTGGTCTATGCTAATTTCTTCATTCAGTATTCAGCTGTGGTGATGAGTTTCAGTATTCAGTGGTGATGAGATCCAGTATTCAGTATTCAGCAGTGATGATGAGATCCAGTATTCAGCTGCGGTGATGATAAGATCCCATATTCAGTATTCAGTATTCAGCAGTGGTGATGATAAGATCCCATATTCAGTATTCAGTATTCAGCAGTGGTGATGATAAGATCCCATATTCAGTATTCAGTATTCAGCAGTGGTGATGAGATTCAGTATTCAGTTTTCAGCGGTGTTGAGGAGATCCAGTTTTCAGTATTCAGCGGTGATGATGAGATCCAGTATTCAGTATTCAGCCTTGGTGATGAGATCCAGTATTCAGCTGCAGTGATGATGAGATCCCATATTCAGTATTCAGTATTCAGCAGTGGTGATGATAAGATCCCATATTCAGTATTCAGTATTCAGCAGTGGTGATGAGATTCAGTATTCAGTTTTCAGCGGTGTTGAGGAGATCCAGTTTTCAGTATTCAGCGGTGATGATGAGATCCAGTATTCAGTATTCAGCCTTGGTGATGAGATCCAGTATTCAGCTGCAGTGATGATGAGATCCCATATTCAGTATTCAGTATTCAGTGGTGTTGATGAGATCCAGTTTTCAGTATTCAGCCGTGGTGATGAGATTCAGTATTCAGTTTTCAGTGGTGTTGATGAGATCCAGTTTTCAGTATTCAGCTGTGGTGATGATATCCGAACATCCAAAACATTTTAATGCCTCTAAAACAGTGGTCCTCAAACCTTTTTTGAAAACCTCTGCTCTAGAAGCTCCATCACAGGACGTTTCATATGAAATGGTTATGAATACACTGACCGATGCCTGAGACATCGTTTTCTGATAGTTTTGAGAAATTTTTTTAAGTGCATTTTCAGTACCATTTCATCTGTGCAGGCTGGGGTACATGTACTTGCATTTTTCAGATTTATCACTAGTATACTATTACCAACATTACATATAACAGCAGAATACGTGTATGGTTGCTGGTCATTTTGGATAGCAAATAAAATGGCTTTTTATTATTTTATTATAATTTATTAGTACTATTATGCCTGGTTCCATTCACTACCTGTAAAGAAAGTATGAAATTCTCCACAATTAACTATTTCACAGTGACTGTTTTGAAAAATGAGTGAAATTCCCCTTTCTGCAGAACTTTATTTATCTGCAGTGACATAATAGATTCTGAGTGGCTCTCGGTATGCACACATGCCAGTGATGCTAATGATGAATGCAAGCTAACACGGGCTGAATAGCAGTAATGAGAGTAAATCATGCTTAACTGGTCCACCATGTAACTAATAGTAATAATAATTCATTTTTAGGCATGTAGGGGGGAAATATTCTCCTAAAGCCAGAGAACTTTTCGTTAGCATCTTGTTAGCATCTCGTGGTTATTCAGAACTTTAACTCGTTTTCCCAATAACACAACCAAAATATCCAGAATAAATTTCTAATAAAATTAATATTCTGCATGAAACTAACATGCAGTATTCAGAATGCCTCCTACTTCAAAAGCCATTATCACATTTCAAGGAAATTACCAAAAAACATCAATCACATATTTATATATAGCAAATAGATCACAATATACTATGTATCACTTAATAACTTATTGTTCATAAAAACGGGGAACTATAAAAATTCTTCTAATGTCTAGTTTACAATATTTTAATATATATAATATATATAAAACTTAGATTACCTGGGGGACACTAGTCAGGGGGTCTTTTCCAGGTGGCAGCAGCTAAACAATAGCAGAAGAGGAGGCTCCATGTTGCCTTAAGTGGCAAGCTGGCATATCCAGACTTCTTTGTTGTAGTGCAGATAGGTGTAGCCAAACCATTTACAGCAGGTTGTTGCCTGGTTACCGCAATGTTTTAAGGCCTATGATTAGTCAGATAAAAGATAATTTTAAAAAACAATTTATGTTTTTATTATATAAAGATAAAATTGAAACACATAAGGGCTCATATGAAGCCATCTCACAGGCTGGTTTGAGACTCTTATTGTAAGTTATTATCATTGTATTGAATAACAGAAACCAAAAGCATGACAAGGCATTTCAAACTCTTGAACAGTTGTGTCTTGTTAATGAGCTAAAACGAGCTAAACACAGAGCATCTCACCCACCTACCTGACCACTGTCCTTCCCAGCAGAGATATGGGGGGGCCCCACCGTCTACCCACAGTGCATCTATTCTAGTATCCCAGTGAGCAAGCAGTGGAAACACAGACTTTCTTTTCCGCTGTTTATCTAAATACACCTGGTGACTGACACAGTACATAGGTCAGTGAAACGCAGTACTCAGATCTTCCCACCACAGACATTTAGAAAGTCAAAATAATGCCCCAGTGTAATGCCCCATAATGTCATATGTTATCTGCCGGATGTGGATGATTCAATGCTTTAAACCTTATACTTTTACATTTGAGCAGTTCTTAGAATCTGAACTAAGCACATTTTAGTCCACAGTATCTATATCAACCATATCAATAATAATCAAACCCTTGTTGTTTTTTCGTTTATATCAATATTAAAGTTGGAGTAGGTGATTTTGTAGAAACCGGGAAGTGTAAGCTAGTTTTTGAAAAAAACCCACCCCCTACTTTCAGCCCTTCTTACAAAGCTACTCCTCCCAAAACACTTGAACGTGCTTGGCCTAAATAGTCACGACAGAGAGGATTGGAGCTGTTTAAAGCCATATATAGACCACCATAAGATAAATACCATCAAACGACACTTGCTCACAACCACAATGCAGATTTCGTTGAACATATACACACTAAGATTGCATACAAGATAAAGATAGCTGGCTAGCTTACACCTACATCTTAGCTAACATTACGAGGCTGAAGTCAGCTTCCTATTCTGCAGCTTCTTGTTCAAACTTTCCCATTCCACCTTAAATGGTGCAGCAATTATATTCTAACCCAAAATGTAAGTGCTGCACCTTTTAAGGTGCAACGGGAAAATTCAAACAAGAACCTGGCTAATAAGGAGCTGATTTCAGCTTGGTGCTAGTGTTGGACTAATACATAATGTAGCCATGTAAGTGGCTAGCTACGTTAGTTACAAAATTAAGGAAAATTCCCCCATTAACAAAGCCAGATTATTACCTGTCCAACAGAAAAATAGCAACCCTGGCATCCAGGCCTTTCAGATCCCTCAGGTTTCTCAAGTGTTGGAAAGCCACGCAATGTTCACTCTGGTTTGACCTCTTGCTTTATTCAACATCTTTTTGTTCAAAGCCTTTTCTACTTCTGTCTTTCTTTTCTTTCTTTAGTAGTGCAAGCTGTTGTAGGTACCTGTGTAACTTTCTCGGTCATTCTTGTGAACCTAGCTCGCTACCTTTCAGCTGTGTGTGTATGTGTGTTTGTCTGTGGAGCTGTATGACTCTGCACATGTGGGCAGGTCGTGAGGTAGTTAGGTGGACAGGAAGCCCATCCAATCATGTCATTTGGTCTGAATGACCAAAAGAAAAGAAAAGAAAAAATGAAAAAGTCATTGTCTGTGGAGGCCACAGCACTGTAAAAGCCACATCCAATCATTTCATTTGGTCCAAATGACTGAAAGAAAAGAAAAAAGAAAAAAGTCACTGTCTGTGAAGACCACAGGACTGTAAAAACCCTGTCCAGTCATTCCTTTTGGTCCATATGAAATGATTGGACAGGGTTTTGACGGTCCCGTGGCCTCCACAGATAACAATTCTTTTTCTTTTTATTGTCAGAGCATGTGATTTATTCATTGCTATCACGATGTAAGGAGTGTCTAATTGCTTCGGGACCTGAAAGTTGCCATTTTCACTTATTATTAGAACTTTTTAGAACATAGGTTCAGAAAATGTCACGCTGTCAACAAATATATGATACAGAAAGTCTACAAAAGTGCACACTGGACTGTCCAAGCAGGTCCTGATGTCTAAAAATGTTAATGGAGTAGTTCAGTGAAAAATGCTCTTTACAGAGTTCCACTCTAAATGTAATCAATCAGGCAAGATGTTTAGTGTCAGATGTCTGCTTCTTTAATTTCCCAATACAGCTAAAAGGCTAATGTAGCTAACAAGTTATGGAAGCCAAGGCAAACCAATTAGCATGATGCTATCTGCATGTGTACTTTAACACACACTTGCCTCAAACCGATTAAGCAATCTCAAATAGGCCTTCCATACAGGTGCTAACGCCATTGGGAGATCATGAGTTTGATCCCCGGTGATGCCATAGCCATTTGTAGCTGACGCAACTAGTTGGCTGACACAACATAGTTAGCAGTTAGCATTCTTCTCCAAGCGTGTTGAGCTTCGGCGATGTTGCGTTAGCAGCAACTCTCCTAACGTGGAGGCATTGTGTGAAAGAGGAATACCTTGTTAACGCGTGAAATTGGCAATCATTAAAACAAATACGGAGAAGATTGGGTAAAAATCCAACAAAAGAAATCTCGAAAAAGACTTGTTTATGTGGTTTTTCACTCTGTATGATCTATAAACATGGACAACATTCAGTGTCCAAGATAGTTGCCATGTAGCAGTCGGCAACATCATGATATTTTATCGATGTGGTAATAAATAATGTCACAATATGCTTTTCTTAGCATATCATGGATGTCGTCAGTATGTAAAAAACACTGTCTAATCACAAGTTCCATTACAAAGTGAGCATAATTAGTCCTGTTTAATTGGATTTAGAGCAGCTCAGTTTGTCAAACACTGAATAAAAATCTCTGTAGTTGTATGTTTATTATTCTTACAGAATGTTTTATATGTGGCACTACAGGTTCTATTTTGTCTGTTCCAACTTACCAAACCACAGAAAAGAAATATCGTAATGCATATTGTGTATCATGAAAATATGGTGATGCAGTATTTTTGCCATATTGCCCCCTCCTAGTGCTATTATTCATGGATAACAGTGTCATTCTTCACCACACCATTCATTCACTGACAGCCTAATAATAACTGTAGTGTTAAAATGTTCCTGGGATGAAGTAGGCGTAGATTGTGTAATATATCAGACTGCACACCACTGTAACTTTTTTTCTCTGACTTTTTTTCAGATTCTGACTCACACCTCATGCCTGAATAAGCTTATTTGCATCAAACTCAGGCACTATCACTGCTTGGTGATCTCCACCCCGCTCATATCGTAGAGGGAGGTCCATGCTGTTCTCTCCTTCGCTCTGAAGGGAACGTCTGAAACCTTCAATTTGGCCCCTGAGGCAAGTTTCTCCCAGATCGAAGTTTGTTACTTAATGACATCATGCATTACTTGATGTTCGGCTGTTCCCTGCTGGTGCTGGTGAACCTCTCGGGTAAGTTTCAGTCTTAATTTTTTGATAAAGAAAACCTGCACAGCCTGACTTCTAGTTGGAGTCTTATTCCTTGGTGCATTTGGTGCATTTCTGAAGATCTAACTGCCCTTTTTGGTTGCACTGTTTTATTTATGTCATGTATATATATATTTTTTTTGTTCATCTTTAATATATTAAACTGCTGAAGGGCAGAAATGTTTTGCATACAGTGGATGCACTGCAGCCTTGTTTTCAGCGTTATGCTTCCTCTCCATCTGTGCACAAAAGAGGAAGTCAGGGCTTCAAAACATGTATGTGCATTTGCAGATCTTTAAACCATTTCACATGCCTGTTATATGTACAGTAGCAGTCAAAGGTTTGGACGCACAATCTTAAGGCATTTTGATCTAATGACTCGTGTTCAAATGCTTAAAATGGTACTCTAAGGCCTTGTTCGTATCAGGGGACGTCTGTAAATACTCACACGTTTCCTCAGGGACGAAACTCTTGCGGGCGGTATTAACATTACTGCAGTGAGTTTCTAGTGGACTGTATTTTCTACAAATTCAGACTTTTGCATCTTCTATGATTGTATCAAATAACTAAAAAGTTGATATAAGTGAGTGCTTTATACCTGTAGCTGCCGTAGCACTTGATGCTTTAATCTCACTTTTCTAACTGACTTTATTTCCTCTCAGCCTTCTGCTCATGCCCTCCCATTGTGGAGAGGATACAGACAAGGTTGAGTCACCCAGATCATGTAAATGGTTGAAAGACTTTTCCAAAGTATCCATCATTCACAGTAAGGGAGAGGTTTTATTTGGAAATTTCCTTTAGAATCGTCTATAAAATTTTAGTTTTTAAATTACTTAACGGTTTAGCACCTTCGCACATTCCTGAGTGGCTGATAGATGATCTTCGAAATCGAGCTTTGAGATCATCTAGTGCTGCTTCTCCATATTCCATGTATGAAACTAAAAAGGAGCAGAGAGGTTCGGTTTTTATGCACCAAAGATCTGGAACACATTACCAATAAGCGTCCGTCAGGCTCCTTCTGTCAATGTTTCTAAAAAAACACTTAAAAATATATTTCTTTACTTCAGCGCTTAACTGGTTTTTATTGTTTTCCTTGTTTTTTACAGGAATATTACTGTTACTTTCTTGTTAGCTGTATTTTTATTGTATTTTTTATACTTTTATCTTGTGCATTTTAATTTGTTTTATCATTAATATATCCCCTTTTCTGCTATCACTTTAATTTGTTGCATTTTTATTATTTGTTTATTTTTTATTATTTTTTCTTGTCTTCCTCTGTTGTTTTTACCTTGTATTGTGAAGCAGTTTGAGCTGCAATTTTAAGGTATGAAAGGTGCTATATAAATAAAGCTTATTATTATTATTAAGTGCACTAAGTACGACAAGTAGCATCAGTCTGTAACCTTAATTGTCCAACGTAAGTTGACGTCTGCCTTAAAAATCACCAAGACCTTCGCTGAGTGCAGTGAAAAACAGTTGGCTTGTCATTTTTTCAATGGCGGAGGAAGAAAAACACTGCTGCAACTGATCCAGACAGAGGTAAACGTAGCAAGTAGCACCTGCGAAAGAGGAAATTAAGCCAGGACCATGTAAATTTAATACCGTCCAAATTGGGCTCAAGACAAAATACAAATAAAGTTGATGGTTGTGTTTGAATCCACTTTCAAAACAAAATATTGAACCGAAGTGCCCCTAGACAGGCAGTTCTGAGCAGCCGACATGTAGAACTTCTTCAAGCTAGTTGGAAAAGAATCCCCAGGGGCTCCTCCTGAACCTTCTTGAGAGAATGCTGAGCTGCATCAGTGCAAAGGAGGGCTACTTTCTTAAAGAATCTAACTTAAAAGACAGCTTTGACTTTCTGTTTGACTGCAAACGTCCATATATGTTATTTTACAGTGTTATTACTGTTAATGTGGGAAATAAGAAAACCCCTGTCTGTAGCTTGGTGTCAAAACTTTGACTGGTAGTGTACTTCCACAGTGCATTCATATCAGGTTTGATGCTTGCACTCTTAAAAAAGTCGGTTCCTCTAGGGTTGTTTGGTAAAGAGAATGGTTCTATACAGAACTATGAACACTCTAAGAACCCTTTGGATGCTCAAACAGCCCTATGCATATGTGCATTCTTTATAGCACCAAATAGGGTTCTTCTGTTGTTACAAACTTGACATCGACACAGCAAAACCCTTTTTGGTGCTGTAAGGACCCATTTTCAGAAAGGTTCTACATAGAAACAAATACAACATGTTCTCCATCAATCTTTAGAACATTTCACCATGCAAAGAACCATTTAAGCATGCAGATGGTTCTTTTTATGTTCAGGATTCAATTTAGAACCATTGTCCTAATAAAGAACCCCTGACGAAATCAGAATCCTGTGTAAAAGTGTAGATTTAAAATGCAGACAGTTGTAATTGAACGTTCATTTTCCTCTTTGTCTTTTCTCTATGCAGGCAGTAAAGCAAATTTTCAGGTACTGCAGAAGCCCAGGTTTTATGGCGTTAAACCAGGAAAGACAGTGAGCATTCTCTGCTCCATTTCTGACACCAGCCAAAACCCAGTGGTGGCAAAATGGTACAAGGCCAAGGCACATAAAAATGAAAAGAAACCATACATGAGCTCTGAAGCCAGAAACATGTCATTAAAAATCAGCAATGTACAGCTGGAGGACAGTGGCATTTACTTCTGCGAGGTGATGAACATTGTTGGACATGGAACAGAACTGCAAGTGTTGAGTAAGTCTATGTGTCCTTGAGTAAGGAACTCATGGTTATAGCCTCAGCTAAGTTAAATAATATAGCAAAAATACTCTGATACGTTATGCGTCATGTTTCATTTTTCTGAGGTTAATTAACAAGTTGAAAAGAACAGCATTTAAAAAAAGGCTATGAAAAACTATTAATACAATTTTTTTTTCAACATTTGAAAACAAACTTTTTAAGAAAGACAAAAAATCTAACTACAAAAAGCTAAATGAATGAAATAAGATGATGTTATAATAGGCTGACATCTAATCTTATACTAGTCTTTCGTGTGATATGTGAAGTGTTCTCATAAGTATTCACGATGGCTATAAAGCCAATCCACATAACCAGTTGTGTCGCACCAAAAAACCAAGCATAAACTGTCTTTAGGATTGTGTAGCATTTTATGGAAAAAAATTTTATTAATAAATGAGCATGTTTTGATAAACACAAGCTGGGTTGATTTTGAGGAAAACAATATTACATGGAAGTGATTGTGGCAAAAAAAAAAAAGCACACAAAACAAACTAAGTTTTTTGTTTTTTTATTTAGTTAATATTTTTTGCACTATTTTTATTATTGTCACAAATATTTACATGTGTAATAATGTTTCCCTCTGAATAAATAAACTCATTTTGCAAATGGACAAAAAAACAGAGGAGGCAGTGTATATTTCTTGCTGATTTGTTCCCGAGCATTTCAGACACATTCTTAGAAGAGCTTTTCTCTTGTCTCCATCAGGATACAGCAATTCCAAAAAAGCTGAACAGAGGAGCAAGATGAAAGATTTTGTCATTTTCCTCCAGACTTTTCTCCTCGTGCTGTGTATAGTTCTTCCCTTGGTTTGGCATTACAGACTGGTGAGGGCTACACGCATCAACACAGACACAAACATACAGCCGTTCTTTGCACTCAAACATCTCTGCCAGTTTTGTCTTTCACACAGTCTGATTTAAACGTAATAGATGAGAATATTTCTTAAAGTATTTTTTAAAAAGTAACTCAGAAACAGAAGACATCACAAAAAAGAAAGAGAAGGTATCTTACAGAACAGGAAATTGTCTCAAAGCATCCCAATGTTAGAGGAGGCATCTCTTGGGAGAAGACATTTCAAAGATCTCAAAGTGAGGAAGGTATCTTAAAGTATGAGAATGCATCTCAATTTAAAAGAAGACATCTCAACATAAGAGAAGGTATCTCAAAGTGAAAGATGGTATTTCAAATTGAGAGAAGACATCTCGGTGTAAGACAAAGTATCTCAAAGTGAGAGAGGACATCTCAAAACAAGAGAAAGGATCTCAAAGTGAGGCGACATCTCAAAGTAAGAAAAGGCAAACTAACAGAAGGCATCTCAAAGTGAGAGAAGACGTCATCTCAACATAAGAGAACGCATCTCAAAGCGAAGCAAGTCATCTCAAAGTAAGAAAAGGCTTTTTAAAGGAAGTGAAGGTATCTCAAAATAAAAGAAGGCTTTTCAAAGTAACAGAAAACAGTATGTCACAGAAAGAGAAGGTATCTTACAGTAAAAGAAGTTAGAGAATGCATCTTAAATAGAAAGAAGACTTCTCAGCATAAGAGAAGGAATCACAAAGTAAGAGAAGGTACCTCAAAGTGAAAGAAGGCATCTCAAATTGAGCAAAGAAATCTGAACGTAAGAGAAGGTATCTCAAAGTGAGAGAGGATATCTCAAAGTAAGAGAAGATATCTCAAAGAGAGGGCATCTCAACACAAGAGAAGGTACCTCAAAGTGAAAGAAGGCATCTCAAATTGAGCAAAGACATATGAACGTAAGAGAGAGTATCTCAAAGTGAGAGAGGATATCTCAAAGTAAGAGAAAGTATCTCAAAATGAAAGAAGGAATCTCGAATAGAGAGAAGACGTCTCAACCTAAGAAAAAGTATCTCAAAGTGAAAGGACATTTCAAAGCAAGAGAAGGTATCTCAAATTGAGAGAAGACATCCCAATGTAAGAGAAAGTATCTCAAAGTGAAAGAGGACATCTGAACATAAAAGAAGCTATCTCAACGCAAGAGAACGTATCTCAAAATGGGAGAGGACATCTCAATGTAAGAGAAGGTACCTGAAAGTGAGAGAAGACATCAACGCAAGAGAAAGTATTTCAAAGTAAGAAAAGGCATTTTATATTAAGAAAAGGCATTCTAAAGTAAGTGAAGGTATCTCAAAGTAAGAGAGAACATCTCAAAACAGGACAAGGCATCTCAAAGTGAGTGAAGGCATTTTCAGGGTAACAGTAGGTAGCTCAAAGTGATAGAAGACATCTTAAAGTAACAGGAGTTATCTCAAAGTAAGAGAAGGCACCACAAAGTGAGAGAGGACATCTCAAAACAAGAGCAGATATGTCAAAGTGAGGCAAGACATCTCAAAGTAAGAAAAGGCATTTTGAAGTAAGTGACAGTATATGAAAGTAACAGAACCTATCTCAAAGCGAGAGAGGGTATCTCAAAGTGAGGCAAGACATCTGAAATTAAGAGAAGGCATTTCTCTTAATGTAAAGGTATCTCAAAGTAAAAGTAGGCATTTCAAAGTAACAAAGTATCTCAAAGTGAGAGAAGACATCTCAAAGTAAGAAAAAGTTGACTTGATCTTTGGCCTCTTATGCTTTCAGCTTAAAGCGTTTTTGTTTTTTTTTACATTTACATGATATTTTCCAAATGCTGTGGAATCCTGTCCCATTAGCCTTCACTCTCCCACTCCACGTATTTTTCAATATTTACTACCAGCTTTCATTGTCTTTCATTGTTTTACACGACCAGAAACAAAATCATCTTAGAATAGGACATGAGAGCAATCCACATTCTACTAAGCCATCACATATTATTGCTGACAGCAGAATTCTCTTGATGACTGAACTGACTGTTCAGGACCTTAAGATATAAATTTGCTTATTTATCTTGTAGCGCACACTTCCTACTCAAGTCTATGCACCTCCATCTTAGTCAGCCATTAGTTCCTGTTCATTTGAATTTTAGGGGACATTTTGCAATCTTTTTGCAGACAAGGTTGGCCGTACCAGTAAATGATTTAGCATTGTTGATGCATTCATGCCATAATCATAGGAGTTAGATTGAACATCTTGTGACGATTTTGTGCTGCTTCGGTCATGGGAGGTTAAAAGGCCAAGATATTCTCTTATAGCCAAGAGAAAAATTACACACGCTACTTACAAGTGAAGTTTATAGGAAAGTGGCTTAATGTAAACTTACCGGCCACTTTATTAAGAATAAAATGACATTCATCTGCAGCCACATTGTTTTTATATTACAGAAAATTTTTGATTTAACACTTTGTCTGCATGTCAGTGAACAGATCTGCTCTTTTTCAGGGGAAGAAGGAGGAGGCCGTGTATGAAGAACCTGAACGTGACCACACTTATGAGGTCAGTGGGTTCATCACTTTATTCAGAGGTGCTCCTGGGTTTAATAAGATGGTTCTTCAGGAGTTCTTTAGAAGGCAGTGGTTCTATTTATGGTATCTATTTATTCATGGTGAAATGGTTCTTCAGATTGATAGAGAATGTATTGTTTATGGTTCTACATAGCACCGAAAAAGGTTCTTCTATGGCAAGGGTGCACAACTCCCGTCCTGGAGGGCCGGTGTCCAGCACAGTTTGGTGATTTACCTGCTCAAACACAGGTTTGAGTAGGGAAACCTCCAAACTGCAAGAACAGCAGAACCTTTTTTGGTGCTATATAGAACCATTTTTAAAAAGGTTCTATGTAGAACCATATGCAACACTTTGTCCATCAATCTATATAGAGTTCTATATTGAACCGTTCTGTGTGTAAATGGTGCTTTGCATGGTGAAACGGTTCTTCAGATTGATGGAGAATGTGTATATGGTTTTATACACTCTTTAAAAAGATGGTTCTTCAAGGGTTCTTTAGTAAAGAGAATGATTGTATTTAGAACTATGAGTTGTATGTAGAACTATTCTATGCTTAAATATTTCTTTGCAGGGTGAAATGGTTCTTCAGATTGATGGACAACCTGTTGTATATGGTTCTGTGTAGTACCAAAAGGGATCTGCTGTTGTTACAAGCTTCATATCGTAAAAATAGCAGAACACTTTTTAGTTCTATAAAGAACCGTTTTTAAAAAGAACCATATACAATGTATTCTCCATCAATCTCAAGAACCATTTCACCATACAAAGAACTGTTTAAGCATGTAAAGGTTTCTTTGGGTGGTCATAGTTCTACATATAAACATTTTCTTGATAAAATATCCCTTGAAGAACCATTTTTTTGAAGACAACACATTCTCCGTCAATCTGAAGAACCATTTCACCATCTATTGGACCCAATTCCTTTACTAAAGAACCCTTGAGAAACCATCTTTTTTAAGAGTGCAGAAGTTTAATCCATTAAATCAGTATAACACAACACAGTATGTGCTATTGTAGCATTTTGTCCAATAATAAAATTAAAAGTAACTTTTTCTTCTTTTCTTGGATTTAAAGGTATTTGATAACTTCCTTAATGAAGTTTTATTCTTTAAAATGTCAAAACTCCACATCACTCACTAAACAAGACAGTATCAGCCTTATGCCAGCACTGCATCTTGGCTATAGAAGCTAACTAGTGGGCTAGCCGATGCCGACACCTCAGATAATGCACTCCTTAATTTTGGGACTCTCTTTCATCAAAGTTTGTTCTTGTAAGCTTTTTCTTTTCCTACTTTGCTTTTTTAGCTCATACATTTGGTCTTGGTCAAGTGAATTGCATCCAGTGCAACCACAAATTAGCATCTGAGCTGTTTTTTTTTAATAAATCCAGCCAGTCAACTGGCCCAAATTTGAATGACGTATGTAAAAAGAATGATAATCATTAGTGTATGTGTGAGGATGGGTGGAGGGAAATGAATCTCAATAAAATAATGATAATAATATAAATTAAAAAAACAGCCAATCAGCAGCCCTGAATTTCCTGGGACACCTGGGCTTAAGCGGGTAAACCCACATATTAAACCACCAGTGACTTTTATTTTTTACATTGTCGTGATTCCAGCTCTTTTCAGTGAGTCAGATCGATTGATTCAGCTCACAAAGAGTCGTCTCTTTGCCAGTGTTCCCCCAAATTAGGCTAATTAGTTATATAATTACATGTAATATCATGTCATTATTAATCAAACCTTAGTCTAACTTACAGTTAACCAACAAACAATCGCATGTTGCTGCTGTCTATAAAAACCTTGTGTCTCCATAACTCCATAACCTTGTAATGTGAAAAATATACATACATACATACATATATATGTCACTGCTATCAGAAGGAAACCTTGTATCTCCAAAATGGTAACTTTACAGCAGAAGATAACAAAAAACATACTTTACTTTTAATGTAAGTCAATGGAACCAGACTTATTTCCAAGTCATTTTGGGCCATTTCTTTTTGTCCATTCATCATGAAATTTACAGACAATGTAAAGGACTACACACATTGTCAAAAACTGAAAAACGACCAAAAAATGGAGATACAAGGTTTTGCTCCGACAGCAGCGATGTGTTACTAAATAATATATAATATGTATAAAAATGTTAAATAAAAGTATAAAAAGTTAGATTTTCCTCCATCACAAGTTAAAAACTTTGTTTCCTTCTCCTGTACAGTCCCCATGTTAGAGATATGAGGTACGTTATTTTAAAAAAGTCTGATTTTGGTTAGTAGTTTTACTAAATGAATTTCGAGAGGCTCGAATCACAGGACAGACAGACGGGCTGTGCAGGCAAATCTGTCAACCAGACCTCAACAACCAAAGGCATGTGGGTCAAAAATCAAAGACAGGTCAATAACAGGGTCAAACTAAAGAGGTGCTCTCCCAAGAAAAGGCCAAGAATGAAACCAGTGGCAAAATAATACAACAAGCAGCAGGTGTTGGGGATAATGAGGGGTCCTGGGACAAACAGATCATAATCTGTCCATTTATTTTGTCGTCATTTACAGAAATAAATAAATTAATTAATTAATAGAGCCAGCTGAAAGAGTCGAAGGACGCTGTTCTCCATCACTCTTTTCATGACCAGACAGACACTGTGTGCAGGTGTAACACTGTAATAAGTCAAGCGGTAACAAAACAAGTGTGTTTGGCTTTCTGAAGACGCTGTGTGTGCGTGTGTGCATGTGTGTGCGTGTGCATGTGTGTGCGTGTGTGTGTGCATGTGTGTGTGTTACGGTTGGTTAAATTCTCAGCACAATGTGCTGCAGCCATCGTAGCGTGCAGTACAGGAAGAGGAAGTGTTTAGAAATAGAGAGAAGTGCAGAAAGCATGGCGTTGTTATGGTGTGTTTGCTCTCCATCGCTCTTTTACTTTCACTCCAGCAAAGCTGCTCATTCAGAAATTCACTGTCCTTCAGTTCAGCTCTCAGGTTTTACTGCTGCTGTGAGATCATCACACTCATTTAACTTACCCAATAAAGCTCTCTCTGTCTCTCACTCTCTCTCTCTCTCTGTCTCTCACTCTCTCTCTCTCTCTGTCTCTCACTCTCTCTCTCTCTGTCTCTCACTCTCTCTCTCTCTCTGTCTCTCACTCTCTCTCTCTGTCTCACTCTCTCTCTCTCTCTGTCTCTCACTCTCTCTGTCTCTCTGTCTCTTTCATCTCTCTCTCTCTCTCATTCTCTCTCTGTCTTCTCTTTCATCTCTGTCTCTCATTCTGTCTCTCTCTCTCTGTCTTTCTCTCTCTCTCTCTTTCATCTGTCTCTCATTCTCTCTCTCTCTCTCTGTCTCTTTCATCTCTGTCTCTCATTCTCTCTCTCTCTCTGTCTTTCTCTCTCTCTTTCATCTGTCTCATTCTCTCTCTCTCTTTCATCTGTCTCTCATTCTCTCTCTCTCTGTCTCTTTCATCTCTGTCTCTCTGTCTCTGTCTTTCATCTGTCTCATTCTCTCTCTCATTCTCTTTCTCTCTCTGTCTTTCATCTTTCTGTCTTTCATTCTCATTCTCTGTCTCTCATTCTCTCTCTCTGTGTCTCTGTCTCTCTCTCTCTTTCTATGTCTCCCTCTTCCCTCTCTCTCAACTCTCTCCTCTGTCTCTTTTTGTCTCTCTCATGTCTGTCTCTATCTCTCTGATAACTTTCTCTCTCTCTTTGTCTTTCATCTCTTCTGTCTTTCATCTCTTCTGTCTCTTTCATCTCCCTCTCTCTCTTTCTGTCTCCCTCTTCCCCTCTCATCTCTCTCTCCCCCTAACTGTCTCTCTCTCTCTCTCTCTTTCTCTCTCCCTTGCTATCTCTCTTTGCCCTTGCCTCCCTTTTTGTCTTTCCTCTTTCTCTGTATCTTGCTCACTCTTGCGCTCTCTCTCTCTCTCTCTCTCTCTCTCTCTCTCTCTCTCTCTCTCTCAGGGTTTGGAGATCGAACACTGTGGTGGTGATCTGTATGAAGACATTCGTCCTTACTGTCAGGAGTCTCAGGGCCCAGAGGCAGCGTGGGAGGTCGGGCACCCTGGAGTCGAGCCCCCTGACGTGGAGCCCTCTGAAGACAAGCCCCCTCAAATTGAGTCTCCGGAACAGGAGTGATCGAGCTTCACACAAAGACATGCAGGGAAAACAGTGCTGCGCTGAATGTCCTCGATCCAGATGTGTGAATCAAATATCACATCAGCACGTTTACGACAAAATACTGATTTAACTGATTTATTTTTTTCATGTGGAAATGATGCACACATTTGAACCAAGTACATTTAATGCAGCACTTTTCCAATGTGGAAGGTGTCATATAGTGCATAATAATAATAATAATAATAATAATGATAATAATAATAATAATAATGATGATAAATGAGAATGACATAGCCACATTGTTATTAATAATCATTTGTAATACCTATGAGTGACATAGCCACAAACTGAGCAAAATCCACCTGAATGTACTCGGTCTGAGTGGATTCCACTGGAGAGTAAGGAATTTCCTTTTTAAAGCCCCTTTTTAACCCCGTCTGTATGTTTTAACCCCGTCCTAAGTGTCTGTATGTGGCTCCATAACTCGGTTCCTCGCTCTCATAACTACAGAACAACACGTTTTTAGGTTAAAGTCAGTGTGAAAGGGAAATCATAACTCATAACTAAGTCTCTGAGCTAGCCGAGCGCTCTCTCGATGGTAGGTGGTGGGGGTGAGAGGGGTGAGAGGAGGTGAAACATTTTTTTTGTTAATGTTATTTTTTTCCACCCACTGGTGACGTCATGAAAACATCAGAAGTTGTTTAACCGCGAAAGTTGATAGAAGATTACAGGAAAACATGAATTTAGTCTCCATAATGATACAATATGATGAATCATACTTAATATGAACACAAGGTAGGTGTTTCTAATAAAGTGGCCAGTGAGTGAAAGTACAAGGTAGGTGTTTCTAATAAACTGGCCAGTGAGTGGAAGCACAAGGTAGGTGTTTCTAATAAAGTGGCCAGTAAGTGGAGTTACAAGGTAGGTGTTTCTAATAAAGTCACCAGTAAGGGGAGGTTCAAGGTAGGTGTTTCTGATAAAGTGGCCAGTGAGAGAAAGCACAAGGTAGGTGTTTCTAATAAAGTGACCAGTGAGTGGAAAAATTGATGGAAGATTACAGTAAAACACAAATTTATTCTCCAAAGTGTTACGATATGATGAATCATCCTTAATATGAACACAAAGTAACAAGTGAATAGTTCTGACTTAAGTAACTGAATAATAAACCAGCGGTTAAAAAAGCGCGATAGTCTTCAATTAAGCAATAAATCTCCTGAGTTACTGACTGGTACAAGATTATGATCAGCCCCCCATTAAAGAAAAGCCAAGTACTTTGATAAAAGTACCTCAATCATTTGTTCTGTTACTGTATTTTATTAGTCATGTACTATATCTGTGATTACCTCTCTGTTTTGATGTAATTGCTTTATTCCTTATCGTTTTGCCTGTTTTTCTGCTGTGTTTATGGCCAGCTTGATCTTGGTTTATTGAAGCCGTTCATTTCTTAAGGTGCTCTGTGTTTCAGTGATGAGAACTACATGGAAAGGAACAGCTCTGATGTTGGGGCTTGTTCCGCCACAATAAAGGCATGTGGTCATCAGCTGTCGGCTCTTTCACTTCATGTCTTCCACTGTAAACAGGAGCAAGACAGTCAGGTGTTTTCCACACAAAGCATTTTCTAAACTCAGCGGATATAAACATTTATAAGATCATAGGATAGCTTTTTTTTCAGCTTAACTCCCATCATAAAATCACATTCATGCAATTTAGTGGGTAAACGTTGTTCACACTGACATGCTGAAAGTCCTTTTTCTTGCCTAAACAGACTGAAAATAACACCAGGTTAAAACTAAAAGGAGTTGCTGCGCTTGGTAGCCAAATCTGTTTAGGAGAATGTGAGCTGAACAGATCGCCATCTTGTGGACACTTTAAACATTACACTGTCTCTAACTGGGGGAGGGGTTTCTAATAAAGTGGCCAGTGAATGGAAGCACAAGGTGGATGTTTCTAATAAAGTGGCCAGTGAGTGGAAGCACAAGGTGGGTGTTTCTAATAAAGTAGACAGTGAGTCAAAGCACAAGGTGGGTGTTTCTAATAAAGTGGACAGTGAGTGGAAGCCCAAGGTGGATGTTTCTAATAAAGTGACCAGTGAATGGAAGGAGAAGGTGAGCGTTTCTAATAAAGTGGCCAGTGAGTGGAAGCACAATGGGGGTGTTTCTAATAAAGTGGCCAGTGAGTGGAAGCACAAAGTGGGTGTTTCTAATAAAGTGGACAGTGATTGGAAGCAGAAGGTAGGTGTTTCTAATAAAGTGGCCATTGAGTCAAAGCACAAGGTGGGTGTTTCTAATAAAGTGGCCAGTGAGTGGAAGCACAAGGTGGGTGTTTCTAATAAAGTGGCCAGTGAGTTGAAGCACAAGGTGGGTGTTTCTACTAAAGTGACCAGTGAGTGGAAGCACAAAGTGGGTGTTTCTAATAAAGTGACCAGTGATTGGAAGCAGAAGGTAGGTGTTTCTAATAAAGTGGCCAGTGAGTCAAAGCACAAGGTGGGTGTTTCTAATAAAGTGGCCAGTGAGTTGAAGCACAAGGCAGGTGTTTCTAATAAAATGGCCAGTCAGTGGAGGTAGAGGGTGTGTTTGTGTAATACTTTGCATTTTTTATGCGGTCATATCAACTGATGAAAAATTAATTACTTTTTTAACTACTAAAAAAGTCACAGCACTTCCAAAATCTACGACTGAAGCATTTTTTATTGAGATGCAAACAATACAAAACTTTCACATCCTGCTGAAAATATCTTCAAATTTTACACATAGTCCAAGGGGTTTGTTGGATAAATAAATAAATACCGGATCTATAAATAAATAGCTTGTTTCAAACACATAAATAATCATATAAATGATAAAAGTACAAAAGAATCCCTTACGTAATTCACAGTTTCATATCTTTGAAAAGAACATTAATTCAGAATAAATCAAAGTGAATAAATAAGAATAAGTGAACCTCAGTATAAAACGGTATGAAGCAGAAATGACTGGCTGAACATGTGAATGTATGAAACCAATACTGAGTGACTAATAAGGCTTATTTGCGAAATAATCAGCAGGGAACGACTCCAGGAGGCTCAGAAGGTCCAGCAGCTCTTTTCTGATCTGCTCCCACACGTTGATCTGGTCACCCTGTAGGAATAGAGATATTTCAGAATGCAGCTTAGACAGAGGCGCGTTTAAAACAGAACTCCTGGGTGGGGGGAGAGGTGGTGGGGGTGGGGTTTAGAGAAACATCTCACCGTGTTGTTGTGGATGAGACCTCTCAGCTGTTTGAAGTACAAAGACAGTCTCTTATTCGTTCTCACTCTGATGGGCACCTGCAGCAGTGAGAGAACAGAGCATCAACACACGTCCTGTCAAAAGTTTGGGGACGCCTTGCCCTCTTTTGAAAATGTCCAAGTAAAATTCAAATGATTGAAGAGCAGCTTTAGTCTAAACAATGCTTGGACGGTTTTCTTTTCCAAGCCACTGTTGAAGGGGATTTTCACAAATTCTCGAAAATATCTGCATAATTAAGTGGTTGAGATGTAAACAGAGTCATTCAGAGTGGTTTGGTGTGAAATGCTCTGAGATGTCAGAACTGTTCACAGTGGTGGTGATAGGAACCAGACATCCACCTCTAAAATCTTCCTCACAGACAGCAAAAAAAAACAGTATCTTGTGAAGTAAAATTATCTTAAATACAGTCAATAAATCTAATATTTCTCCTGTTGAGATTATTGAAAGCTTAATTTAAGATTATTTAACTTATTTCTAGACTTTTTTTACTTGTTTTAAGAGATTTTATCACGTAAAATTATCTCACTGTATTGGCAGATAATTTAGCTTGTTTTATGAAATGTGCTTGAAACCAACAAAAGTATCTGTCAGTATAGTGAGATAATTTAACTTGATAAAAACTAAAACAAGTGAATAGGGTCGAGAAATAAGCTAGAAAATCTTATACCAGTGCACAAACATTTCCAAACATTTCATTTCAGAAATATTAGATATATTGACTAGATTTAAGATCATTTCACTTCACAAGATACTATTTTTTGCAGTGCAGAAAGTTATTACATGAAATGGTTATGATTACGCTGCCTGATATCATTGTTTTACGATAGTTTTTGGAAAGTTTAGGCCTAATATGTATTTATAACAATACATGCAGGTCATCGTGAGGACAAATGGTGCCAATTTTACCACTATTCCATAATACTGTATCATCAACATTCCATATAAAAATTTAGAAGGCATGTGTATGCTGACTGGTGGCTTTGGATAGTAAATAAAATGGCTGTATTTGGCTATATGTTCCATTCACCACCACTGTAAAGAAATCTGAATCTTCATAATCAATCACACCAAACCACTCCGAATGACCCTGTTTACATCTCAGCCACTGAATTATTCAAAAATGTCGGAAAATCAGAGGAATCTCCAAAGGTGATTTAAACACCTGGAAGGTTTGAGCACTGATGATGGCCTTTGGCTTTCTTTACTCACAAAGGACAGCTTTTATCAATTGTTCCTTCAGTTTTGCAGTTTTTTTAAAGACACTTTAAAACCGTGAGAAGGAAGAGGAGAACTTACACACGAGCGCAGTTCCTCCGTCTCATAGTCCAGCATGCTTAAGAAATTGTGCAGCTGCTCTTTGTTCCAAGGCACTGGATCAGCCTCTGTCAGCAGAGAGGAGATTTCATCCAGAGTCTGGATGACCAACCAGACCTGTTTGACTGGCTGCAGAGAGAAAGAGAACGAGACAGACTTACAATACAACTTCTATATTTAGGTTCTACAATTTGTGAATTTCTGATTAATGCTCATACAGTGGCCAGTGAGAGGAAGCATAAGGTGGGTGTTTCTAATAAAGTGGCCAGTGAGTGGAAGTACAAGCTAGTTGTTTCCAATAAAGTGGTCAGCGAGTGGAAGTACAATGTCGGTGTTTCTAATAAAGTGGCCAGTGAGTAGAAGTACGAGGTGAGTGTTTCCAATGTAGTGGCCATTTAGTGGAAGTACAAGGAAGGTGTTTCTAATAAAGCGGCCAGAGACAGGAAGTACAAGGTGTTTCTAATAAAGTGGCCAGTGAGTGGAAGTACAAGATGAGTGTTTTCAATAAATTGGCCAGTTACTGAAAGCAGAGTGAGTGTTTCTACTAAAATGGCCAGTGAGAGAAAGCACAAGTTAGGTGTTTCTAATAAAGTGGCCACTGGGTAAATGATTTATTGACTAACCTGAGAACTTGTGTGGTGGATGAACCAATCAGCATCAAAGATGTTGCCGTTCTCACTGTCCCCACCGGTTCCTGTACCCTGTACGAAAGAAAACAACATTGCATTAATTCCAGACAGATTGTTAAATGACCAAATGTCCTACTATGTCACTTATTTTCACTTAAACAAAATTTCAAAATCAATATCTCACTATTTAAACTCAAGACTCACCATTTCTCTAAGCAGCGTCAAGCAATTCCCGTGGTACTGCCTGAATTTTCTGTAGTTCCATCGGCAGCTGAAGACAGAGCTCACACTGCACAGAGTCAAAATAAGGCAAAATTGCACTAAACACAGAAACTTCGCCATATCTTCTCCAAACTTAGTCACTGAAGTAGAACACAGTTGTACTGTTTGTAGGCTACTAAGCTTCTTATATGTCAGTCTCCAGTTCTCAGTGAGAGCTCTACTCTTTTGCAGTTCCATACTGTCCACTGTTAATATACAGTATTTATAGGCAACAAGAGAGAAGCGTAATCTAAGGAAAGCCACACAAGCCCGAATTTCACTTTCTGGACGCGCTGACCGTAAAACAATAAAAACAAAGCCACAACGATTACGTGCAGAAGGGAGCCGCTGCACTTTCGCAATACCACCACACACACCTGTGTGTCATTATTCTGCATGTGTACATTATCTGTTGA